AGATTAACATTTAAATTGTAAATTAACCTGATATCAAACAATTTAATTGTTTAATATCAAAGCTTGTTGATCAAATTTGAGTGTAAACAATTTTTGATAATCAATATCCTTAATTGTTCAACTTAGTAATTAAGAATATAATTTTCATCTCAACTAATCAATTATATAACTACTACACTAATTAATTAATTACTGAACATTTAAGTGTTTATAGAAATGAACAATAAATGATTGACTTTAATTGCTATTAGATTTACTTAAAAATCAAGACACAATTACAATTGAATGGCCCAAGGAGATTAATCAAAAAATTTCACAAATTAATTACTAATCATGATTAAGTTAATCAGTTGCGATTGTCAATTAGTTTGATAAGAAAAAAATCTTGTAAATCGTTAACTAAATTAACCTAATCACAAACTTTTAACTGGACAAATGAATCAACGATTAATATTTTTTTTTCTTAATTGCTTGATAGAAAAGGTTAATCAATTAATCGTTAATGATAACCATCAACAATCAACTTTTAATTGTATCAAAAAAAAACGGTACAATCAACGGATTCCCATCATACTTATGATTAAAATTAACACTTTAATCAAACACCATTTGATAATTATGATAATCATAATCACCACTGATTAGTTGATAAAGATACAATTATCAACAATTAAGTGAGAGAATCAAGAATTGAAATGAAAGCAAAAAAACTCATTTTGATTAACTGATAAATTGGATGATCCTTTTTAAATTGAGTAAATTTAATGGTTATAACAATTTGTTGCTGTTGATTTGTTGATTGTTGATGCAAAAATTATAATCTCACATGACAATTTGTTTAATTTTGTTATGAATTAAAATCATCTGAATCTCAATATTATCATGAAAATGCAAGTTACCAGTAAATTGTTGATGATGATTAAATATTATACATATTATTCAATTGGAGGTTGATTATTATATTGAACGTTTTTTTATTCAGATTGTAGGGAAAATTATTTGATTATTATCACGATATCAACTTAATTGGCCTGAGGGCGTTAACGAGCAGTTAACTAACTATTTTAACCGTGAGCAGTTTAATTGTAAATTGGTTAATAATCAATTCATAACAACGTCTCAGTTTAAAAAACTTCGTTCTCACTCTTAATCTTTATCCTTTTTTTTAGTATATTCGCTGCGAAATTTAAATTGTTACTACTGAATCGCAGATTCTGAGGATGAAGATGAAGATGAGAATGATGATGAGAGGCCATTTTAGACAATTTCATCAGCATTTTCATCTTTATCCTCATTTGATTGACCTCTTTCTCACCGTTAACTTTTTAACTGACCAGAGTTATTAACATGATGTTAACATTGCCCGAGATGAATGTTGATCAATTAATAATTAATGTTTGTATGTGTGTGTGTGTGTGTGTTTGATTGTTAATTAATCAATTTTGATCATTTTTCCATGATAATCAGTTGATAAACATGGTTAATTAGTTGGCTGATTGTTGTTACCGTTAAGGTTAATTGCAAACCTATAAATTTAAATTGCAATCATGATTAGTGATCTTGTTGTTGCTTTCTTGTTGATGGTCAATGGTTTTAGATTTGTTTTTCTGGTCAGTTAATTGTTTACAATTGGTTAATTGCATATAGATCAGGTTAATGATTAGAAATGATAATTAAATTGCTTTAGGGTTACCTAATGTTTTGTAGTGTTTATTTATATGTATGATTAACTTTTTAATTCCTAACAATTTGAATCGATAATCAACTTTGATTAGTTTTTCTGTTAAATAATTTCACATTCATCATGATCATTAATTATCAATGTTACCGTTGATACTTTGTTACTAATTGTTTTGTTTATCGTTTCATTTTATTGAATAAAATTAACTTAATTTGTTGATTTGTAAATTACAATTAAGTAGCAGCAATTAACTTACAATATTGTATTTACAATATTAAACAGTAATTTTGTTTTTTTTTCAATATTTAAATTTCATAAGCAATTAGTTTATGATGATTAGTGATGATTATTTAGTAAATTGTAACTGTAATTGTAACAATGATTTTAATTGTTCAATCAATGTATCAATTTGCTGGTGATGAGAATTATTAAATATCGTGATATGTGGTTAATTGTTGGCAGAATGAAACAAATTAAAACAGTTAAATTGCGTACAACCAACAGTAATAAAAGTTAACGATTAAAAGTGAAAGTTATTTTTTCTTTCTTGTTGATTTAAATCATTTACCTGTTGATGATGATTCTTGTTGTTGATTGTTGATATTTTTTTCTCATTCATGTTGATGATGGATTAAAACTAAATCACTGAAAGTTATCAACAATCTTTGAGTGGTTTACCTTGAAATTTGTGTTCGAAGTAAAAAAAGAAGATAAAAAACTTTTTCATTTTTCGTCAAACTTTTTGTTGTTTTTTTGAGTTTTTTTCGTCTTGTATGTTGATGGCTTCATCTTCAGTTCATTTTACTCAGAAATCCTCAGAATCGTGTTAAGAATCCCTGGTGAGAGAGAGAGATGACCATGATTATCATTTTCTCATCCCTCATAATCAAATTCAATTTAAGTCTAAGGATTTGATAGGTTAATCTAATGGAGATTGGATTTTGATTTTTTTTTCTTAATCATTTGGGCTCAACTGATTTATGCCAATTCTCATTAAGGATTATCATGAGTTTCACTCTGAAAATCAGGCTCATATTTTAAGTAATCACTTTGATTGCAATTTAAGTTGTTTAATTGTTTCCATCCCTTGATTATTGATGAAATTAATTGTTGAATTAAACCTTAAGGCTTTTGATAATTAACTGATTCTAATAACAATTAATTGTTAACCTTATTTGTTTCTATTTGATTTGTTGTCCATTTGAACTTTTAAATTGTTCATCAAACAATTTAACAGTCTTAATGATAACAAGATGATATTAGTTTAGGTGATTGTGTAAAAATAACAACTTGTATATTAATCAGTACGAAGATTGGATTAAATTGTTTCCCAATCGTGATGATAAGATTTAGATAATATACTTGATCATCTCTCTCTCTCTCTCTCTCTCTCTCTCTCTCTCTCTCTCTCTCTCTCATCTTTTCTTGATGGGATTAAGTTGATTAACTGATAAGCAATTGAAATTAACATGCGAAATTTTTTCTCTCTTGAAAGTAATTTATTAAATTTACTTTAATTTCTGTTCGTTTTTTGATTAACTATTTATTACAACTACTACCGTTTACTAATCTTCATCATCATCTTTAGTTGTCATCTTCTTCATCTTTCCTCTTCCTCCCTTTCTATTACCTTCCTCAAGATGATAATTGTTAACAAAAGTGATTAACTTTAATCTCAATTCAGTTTGAATTGATTATCTAAAAGATTGGGTCATCTACCGTTAATCAAGAGTTACGTTTAATTGTTTTAAATAACTGTCTGATTGTTAATGTAGTATCAAAAAAAATTAAGTCATAATCATATCGCATAACTAACTGAGTGATTGAATGTTTAATTATGTGTATTTGCTTCAATGTAATTATATTTTTGTTTTGTTTTCTTGATAAAATTAACTTAAATTATTAGCCAATTGATTATGTTGAGGATTAGCTGTTGATTGGATAATATTTAGTAATTGTAGTAATTTAATCAAAATGATGATCGATTGATTGTAAAATGATTAGTTGATTTAGTAGATGTTAAGTTGAGAATAAGAAAAAATCTCATTCAGATTATTCATGATTTCGGAGTAAAAATCTTGAAACTCTCAATGATTATGACGATAGTTATGATCCTCATCATGATACGACGATGATGATGATGATGATGATGATGGTCAGGATGAAGATGATAATGAAGATAAAGATGATGAGGATGAGGATGAAAAATGACTTTTAACACACCTTTAGTGTATCTGAATCTAAGGTGTAACATTGGGCTGAAGGTTTGGTTTAGAAACTTTTTTTGTTTCTCTTACCGTTGACTAAATTGTTGTTGTTCAATTTAATTGTTACTGATCATGAAGATGATGATGATAGTGATTAGTGAATTGTTTTTGGTTCCTCTATCATGATTAAAAATCATCTCTCCTCCCTAATGGTAATTAAACCAACTTCTGATTAATTAACTAATTGGTCAATTTACCTTTTTTTTCTTGATACAACAATTTCCTTCATTTACTTGATTGTTGTTTAATTGTAATTAAATAAACAATCACCTTGGTGAACAATTAATCATTTAGTGTTTTTTGTTTCTTTTAATGCCTTTACTTTGTACACGTTTTTCAATCTCTCAACTGATCAGTTTTCTCAACAATTAGGCTAATCATTTCGTCTCGTGTTTCTTATTATCTTAGCAATCAAATATGAATATTGAACTTTCATTAAGCATTTGACTGTTTTTCTGATTGATTGATTCCAAATATTGATCAATCAGTATCATAATAATCTAATTGTCTCCCCATATAATCAATGGGCACAATTAAAAGTCATTAACTTGGCTATTTGACCACACACATTATGATTAAATTAACTAATTCATTGATCATCAAGAATATCATCTGAAGGGAATTTTTATTCTGAGCAAAATTAATTTTTTCTTAATTTTCTTCATCTTTTTTTTATCTTCTCATCCTCATCCTCATCCTCATCTTCATCTCCATCATCATTCTCATTATCATTATCATCAAAAACCCTTTTTTAACTAGTTAGTAATTTTCCACCTGATTAATTGATTTACCTGTTGGGCCACACAGATAATCAAGATGATTGACTTATCATCAACGTCCAATTAAAACATACATTGATTAAAGCTTGATTGTTAATCAGCTAATTGTGCAAAAACCTATCAAATATAAAGGGTTAATCCCTAATTTTTGGCTAATCATAATGATGCCGAAAATATTGCAACTTTTGATGAGATTAACATTTTTTTCTAATCCTTTATCTTGTCCTTAATTGTTGTCTGATTGTTCCACTAATTGTTGTTTTCTTTTTGCAGCTTCTAATTATTATAGCGATTCCAGTGAAGATCAACCTTTAAATATGTCAATGCGTAATTCTGGTCAACTTTTGAAAAGAGTTCGAAGTCTTCTGAAAAGTTCAAGTATCTCCGATGGGCCATTATCAGCTTTCATTTTATCTTCAGGTGATGCCCATCGAAGTGAATATATTGCTGATTGTGATGATCGTATCTCATTCATTTCCGGTTTCACGGGTTCTTGGTCAACTACCGTGATAACCCTCGATGATGCAGCTCTTTGGACTGATGGACGATACTATCTACAAGCCGAGAAGCAACTTTTCCCTGGATGGGTTCTAATGAAAGACGGATTACCTGGAACACCAAGTCCAGGTGAATGGATTAATAAAGTTCTAATCACCGGAAGTAGAATTGGTTGTGATCCCTTTTTGGCTTCTTCCACTGAATGGAATAATCTAGCAAAAACTTTGTCCCAATCGAATAACCATTTAATCCCGGTCACCTCTAATCCAATTAACCTAATCTGGGAAGATCGACCAAGTCCACCCTCTAATCCAATTGAACCTTATCCAACCTCATTAGCGGGTAAATCGTGGCAAGAAAAGGTTGAAGAGGTTCGCAAAGAGATGATCAAAAAAGACGCCAATGCCTTGGTAATCACGGCTCTAGATGAAGTGGCCTGGTTACTTAACCTTCGTGGGTCCGATATCACTTTTAATCCAGTTTTTTTCGCCTACATTGTAATTACAATGGACACTATTCAGTAAGTAATCTTAAGAAACAATTAATAAATGAACTAATCAATTAATCCGTTTGTATGTGTTTCTTATAGTTTTTTTGTCGACGAATCAAAATTGGACTCTCAATGTCGGAAACATTTAAATCTCGAAGCTACTACCAAACCTAAAATTGAATTAAGAGAATACAAATTAATCAATGATTTCCTTAAATGGCTTGTTACCCAAGATACAACGTCCAAAATTTGGGTAATTAACGTTAATTGTTTCAAACAGAATTAGAAATGAAACAAAAAGTTTATCGATATCGATTAATGTTATTATTTTTTTTTTCTTTGTCTTCGATTCCACAGATCAGTTCCAGTTCAAATTACGCACTAGTCAGTTCAATTCCCGAATCTCGTCGAATTGATTCACTTAATCCAGTTGTATTAAGCAAAGCAATTAAGAATAAGGTTGAAATTGAATGTATGAAGAGAGCACATGTAAGTAATTAATTAAATTGTGAGTAAACGTAACATAATCAACTTTCAACCAGCACAATCAACCATCAACTAAATCATGTTGTTGTTATCAATTCATCAATGACAAGTTGACATAAAATTTAATCTTTAATCCTTAACAATTAACTATATTTTTACATCTAAATGACTTTTCCGTGATTTAGCTGCCTAGAAGCAACAATTAAACCTTTTTCATTTTTGTCACAATTAACCAACACACTAATCTAATCATTAACTACAATCAAACTAATTCAGTGATCGACCAATAAGTCAAACAACAAATTGTCCTTAATTTGATTTGATTTAATTTCTCCTACGCACTTTCCAGCATTACCCTTATAGTATCTTAATCACCTTAAATCAAATAAGATAACCAATTAAATATTCAAGATGATGATGATCAACATGACGAATGTCAACTTACAATCATGTCCACAATTAACACTAACGATTAGCTGTTGAACGTAACGATTTCGTTAGAAAAACTTTCGATTTCGATTTCGATTTTTTTCCAACACCTTAACTATTATAATCCTACTAATTAACACTGATCATAAATCAATTTAAGCTATTAAATTGTTGAAAAATAATTTTGATCAAAAATTAAGTTGGGATATTAATTGTGAAGATACTGTTGTTGGTTAACCTGATTAACTTTTCGTTAATTGTGTTTACCCTTGATTACGATTTTGATACAAGGTTAAATCATAATTTTCCTTTATTAATGATTATAGTATTTAATTGATAATTAAACCAACAAAACGTTGAAACTTTGTTGTGTCCTATTGGAAAACAGTTAGTTAGTTAATTAGTTTGGATAAAGTTTTTAATTGTAAAAAAAGAAAAGGTAAAAGTTAAATCATCTTTTTTTTTCTGCTTCATTTAATTTATGAAGGAAAATGTTGTTTTATATTATGAAGATTAACATTTATTAAGCTGTAGGCTTTAAAAATTAACCATTAATCTGATTAATTTAGTGATTAATTTTGTTTTTTTAATCATTTAGTTGCGGGTTGAGTATTCTCACTACTTTGATTTAATGTTGATCAAATTTAGTTGTTTTCTAACCAAGTTAATTTGTATCAAGTTGACCATCAAGTTGTCATATGATTTGTGGTTGTTGAACGATTTTTGTTTACGTTTCTACTGGACAATTAGCTTAATTGTTAGTAATTTTTGTTTTTCGCAATCAATTTGATTAATTGTTGGCTTGTTTAGGTTAAAGATGCTGTCGCTTTATGTGAATTATTTGCCTGGTTAGAGGATGAAATTGTCAAAGGTGAACTGGATGAGGTGAAAGTGGCAAATAAATTGGAATCGTTTAGAAGGTAAATTAATTTGATTGATGGACAATTAATTGACTCATTAATTTATTGTTTCCTTTTGGTTTTTTGTCCATTTGTTAGAACTCAAGAAGATTATATTGGTCCATCTTTCGAAACGATATCTGCTTCTGGACCAAATGCTGCCATTATTCATTACAAACCGGAACTGGAAACCGCTCGCCCATTGTCCGTCAATGAGATGTACCTGTGTGACTCTGGTGCTCAATTTCGTGATGGAACCACCGATGTAACTCGAACTTTACACTTTGGACAGCCAACATCTCACGAACGGGAATGTTTTACTCGAGTTTTAAAAGGTCACATTGACCTTGCTAAGGCTCATTTTCCCGTTGGTATTAAGGGTAATCGTTTGGACTCTTTTGCCCGTCGTCATCTATGGGAAGTTGGCTTAGATTATCTCCATGGAACTGGTCATGGAGTCGGGTCTTATCTGAATGTCCATGAAGGTCCATGTGGAATCTCATTCCGACCTAATCCCAATGATCCCGGTCTCAAGGAGGGAATGATATTATCCAACGAACCAGGTTACTATGAGGATGGTAAATTTGGAATCAGAATTGAAAGTCTAGTGTTGATTAAAAAAGTTGATCTTGAGGTAAGTGTTTATCTCTCTTAATCCTTTAATCCCTTAATCCATTTCCTCGGTTCCAATCAAACACATGATCAGATTATCAAAGTTTTCAGTAGCTCGATTTTGTTACTGTTCAGGTTCAACGTTTCGTTTACTTTTTTTATTTACCTTTTGAATACATTTAACGGGTTGTAATTAATAATATTTGTGAAGCTAATTTAGTTTCAATAATGATTAACTAATTTGTATTATGTTGTTACCATTAACATTATTGATTCTGGTTTGTTTGAGAAAACATAATTACTGCCAATTAAACGTTTTTAATAGCGTTGCCTCCGTTAATTGTCTCATTAAATTGTTAATCATAATTACTTTATTGAGAAAAATACACAATTTGTCTTAACTTCACTCAATCAATTTATTCAATTTACAACAAAATCAATCTTCAATTAACTAATATCATTTTCATGATTAGTTGAACTTTTTTATTATTATTATAATTTAGTAATCAAAGCAAAAATATTACCTTTTTCACCCTTAATAATCAGCCAAAGTGTAATCAATTTAATCAACTATTATTAATTAATTACTTAATTTACTTTCTTTCATGTTTTCTAATTGTTATCAACAATCAGCACAATTTCAAGGATTCAGGTTATCTTGGCTTCGAGACGATAACATTGGTACCAATACAAACTAAACTATTGGAACCATCATTATTATCAATTGAAGAGGTAAGAGAGACAATTTAAATTGATTATCATATAAATTTCAATATTGGCAACAATTAACATTTGCTAATTAAATTGTCCAAAAAAAGGAATCAACTTTGATTAAGTTAATCATGACAATAATAATGATAATGATGATAAAAAACTAATCTTTTCCAATAATGTTATTCAAACTGTTGAAATATCAACAATTAAAAATTGAAAGGGTAAACTAATTAAACTAATTAAACTATTAATTGTTTACTATTTACTATTTATATACATTTATCACCTTTATCATGATTATGATTGTGATAATGATGAAAATTAAATTGTTAGGGAAAAGGGTTACTACCAATGTTTGTTAACATATCAAACAAATCAACGGATGAAATTAAATTGTTAGATGATGTTAATTATGATGATTAACATGCTTAAAGCAATAGAGAGCATCTCCCTTTAATCACAAACTATTTAATTGCTATAAAATACAATTTAATAAGTTGTGATGATAATCAACTTTAAAAGGGTTGAAAAGTTTATCATGAAAACTGGTTCCAAAAGTAAAGATCGTAAAGTCAATAGGAATCTAATAGGAAAGTTAATCATCTTAATCAAGATTATTTAATCATAATAATTAGTTGATTAGGGTTGATGATTTAAAAATGATCCTCTTTGGAATACCTATTTGTAAATGATAATATTATTAATTTAGTTAATTTGGTTAGATCATTGATCTCAATTGATTAGTATCACAACTTTGTTTGTCAGACTTTAAATTTTAATCTAATTTAATATTGTAATTAATTATATCTCTCCTTTCAAATGTTTAATTCAGTTTGATCATGAAAAAGTGTATATTACATGGAGAGACAATTTGTTAATCTAAATCAAATCCTCTCCCTGACAATTTGATTTAACTTTTTTTTTTAAAATTCATCTTTGATATTAAATTGATTGTAAATCAATGATAACAATCAACTTAATCAATCATCAATCATTTAATTTTATTTACCTGTTTTTTTTTGTTCATAATATAAATTTTGTTTTCATCATGATGAGGGTTGATTAACACAATTAACCTTGATTTAATTACCTTGATTTTAAATATAATCTCATCAATTTAATGCCTATTTTATATTTGTTGATTGATTGAAACTTGAATAATTTTATTCATGTTGATAAGTTTAATTATTAATTAGCAATATTGAGTTTTGATATTAATCATGATTATCATCAATTGTGTCAATTTCATGTTGATTGTTGAAATGATGATTATGATGATGATGATAATAATATTGATAATGTTGCAATTTAATTTGATTTACTTTAATGTAAGTTTTAGTTAAATTAATGAGTTGAAAATTGTTGTGAAAAAAAACTTCCGCAAATTTTGCGATTTGGTTAATTGATTAACTAAATGAGCTAAATTGCAATTAAGAAAGTATATCATATTGATTGTCCTTATTAGATTGATATATTAAAATCAACACTGAGCACAACCAGTTAATCATTTACAATTCCAACAGTTGAAGCAATTAATTAAGTCTCTGTTTTTTTTGCAATTATAATCATTTGGTAAAAAGTTTTAATTAATGTTTCCGGTTAATCAAATTACTTTCAATTAAACAAAATTAACTCAGTTAACTTTGTTGCTTTCATGATAATATTACACCAATAATTTTTAATGATATATTATCTTGATGATAATTTATTAAAATAATTGCAACAAAAAAAATAGTGTTAACTATTGATACGAACAATTTTTTTGATTACTTTTCCGATTCTTACCTGATTATCAGCATCTCTCTCTCACTCTTTCTCTCTCGCTCTCCTTCAAGGTATATTATTTATACATTGATGATGATAGTGTGGTGATATTGATGATGATGAGGATGAGAATGATGGAGATGAAGAAGAAAAAGAAATCAAATAAAAAAAACTTATTGATGATGAAGAGAAATGAAAACAAATTGAACTAATCTTTTGTGAAGCTCATAACCTAAGGGCGATTGGGCAATTTGCCTCAGGCACTTTGAAACAAAATGATGATAAGGATGATAAAAGTTGACATGGATCTATTCAGAATGAAGATAATGTAGTTTACCTAATCAAATAAGGAAGAAGATGAAGAAATCAAAGGTATAGATATTTGGCTATTATCATCCTCATCTCGTTCATCACTAATTATCTCTCTCTCTCTCTCTCTCTCTCTCTCTCTCTCTCTCTCTCTCTCTCATGATGTGAACCGTTATTTGAATCAATTGAATCTTGATCAATTACTTAAAACTGAATCATCTCCACCCTTCAATTTGAGCACTTATTATGTGAATACTATTTAATATTTGTGATTACAATTTACTTTTTCACCCTTAAGAGTTGATTAGACTATCGAGTTGCCATTTAATGCCTACAAGGCAATTAACTGATTATTTAACTGTATCTTTTTTAATTTAACTGTTAGTTATTAAGATGATGATGATCACCACCATCATCATCAACCTTTTTTTTAAATATATTTTGGCAACAAACTCAATGGAAAGATAAATTGTATTGATAATAGAGATTTAATCTTGTTCCTTAATTTCTCACAATTAACTTAGCTACTGTTTTTTTTCTTACACATTGATTAACAATTAATGATAGCGAAAAACAAAATTCAGCTAATCTCAATTCGTTACCTAATATTTAATTGATCACAATTAACCGATTAACTATTGATATCGATTAGCAATTTAATAATCATACACTTTTTGTATTAAATATTTCAAAGGGCAATTCTTGTTTATCAAATTTAAATTGATCTATATTCTTAATTATTGATTTTAATTCATTGATATATTGATTAATTGTTGTTCTTAATTGTTTCAGATTGAATGGTTGGACAATTACCATGCTACATGTCGAGATGTGATTGGAAAAGCATTGAAGGAACAAGGAAAAACCAATGCCTATTGTTGGCTAATGAAGGAAACTCAACCTTTGGGATAATTTAAATTGTTTGATTAGTTTAATTTCCCTGCACAATTAACTAATTGAAAATATTTCATTTCTATGTAAAGTTTGTTATCATTAATAACATTTTTCTTCCCAATATATAATTAACTAATTAATGTCAAGCCTAAACTATCACTTAAGATGATTAACTTTTTTTTTGTAAATGCTTTTTTTATCCTGTAAACAATTAGTTAATTGTTACAGATAATTTTAGTAATCAAACTTTCTTGTATTGTTTGCCTTTAATTTCATATCAACTACTATTTAATCAAGAAAATATTTTTACAATTAACTTTTCCACCTTACAATTAATCACCTTTAATTGTAAAGTTTTTCCCAAAGGCTTTTTCCCATCAGTAAAATTTGATTACAATTAAACTTACAACTATAATAATAATCAAGTGATAACAATTAAAATTGATTGTCTACATATTATATTGATCAGTCAACTAATTGTATTGATTTTGTTTTAATTGTTTTCAACTTTTTTGTTTATTGTAAATCCTTAATCTCTTGTAATCAACCAAATTGTTAACCAAATTGATGTGAAAAATTGAATCAATTTAAAAAGTACAATCAACTAAATGAATCAACAATTGATTACAACAATTAACTAATCAAGTGTGATGTTTAAATTGTTTCAAGAGCAATTTCAAAGGTAAACAACAGGTTAAACTAATCAGAAATTAATCTAAAACTATTCAGTTAATTAAAACAATTTAAGTTTCAAAGGTAAATTAAAATGACTAATGTTTTCTCAGTGGTGAATAAGCAAAAATAATAATAATAAAAAAGGGTTAAGTTGAAATAGGAACGTAGAGTTTGCCCTGAGGCGGATTCCCGTGTAACCAGTTGCTTTTATATCATTTCAACTCATACCTACAGGTGACAATGTCTAACCTATAGGGAAGATTAACGATCATCATCATCATCTTCATCATCTTCTTCATCTTTATCATCTGATGCCCTTGGAATAAGATGAAACTTGTTAATTTCATCTCTCTTCCTTTGGAGACTCTGGATCATCATCTCAGGTAGAGATGATTCGTCTCGTGATTAACTCTATCATCAAGGGCAATCAGTTTACTCATCATCATCTTCTTTATCATCATCATCATCATCATCTCTGTCTCTGTTTATCATCGCACTCCCACTTTTACCCCACAGACTATTAACCCTTTGCCATCCGCAAGGCTTAACTATCTTGTCTATGAGAAAACAACTTTTACCTGGTTCATTATTTTCACTATTTATGATTAAATTATTCTCAATTTAGTGTCACAATTAACTATTAATCAATTGTCTATCTAATTAGCATATTGATTCTACAATTAGAACTTGTTAATTGCAGCCCTGATTGTAGTTAAATCGTTAATTGTTGTTGTTTGATTAACTTTTCCCTCTGCTCTTATCATATAATATAATATTATAAGATTTTCTGGTTTTTTTTAATAGTTTATTTAATTTCTTAATCATTTTCAAATGATTTCTTGTTGATTACTTTTTCTCATTTAACAACAATAAACAATTTACTATTAGCTAACTGTTTCCTACTATATGTTTGTGTGTATTTTCATTGTGACAGTGATTAATTGTAATTAGTTTTGGGTAAGAAAATGAAAATCAAATTGTTACCCAACTATTTATAATTTTCTGTGTTCAACTTATTAGGATTTATTTTAATTCTTGAAAAGTTGATCCAATTAAATCAATCTTTAAATTCTTGACTGGTAATTTCATCATAAGAATCATGAACATGATGATGGAGGTGGTGGTGATGGTGGTGGTGTTGGTTCTAGTGTAGGTTAGGTAGTGACAGTGGTAGTAAAAGACAAGAATGAAAGTTATCATGTTGATCATCATGAGATGATTAACATTCTGACTCGATTCCAAGAAAACAAAAAGTACAATCATTTCACCTTCACCAAAGACTGAATAAGTTTTCTGTTTGTTTTAAAGTTGAACAATTAATTGCTACAGTTTGTTGATTGTTATAACAGTTGATATTATTGATCAGTTTCCAAGAAATTAAAATCAACTACCCGGCAGAGTAAAATAATCAACAATCAAAACGGTAATCAAAAAAGTCATCAAGTAATCAAACCAAACAAGCAAATCACTTTCTTCCCATTGGAATCATATGATATTGTTTATATTTGTATTTATCGCGATGAAAACAACATCAACAATCAATTAGACTTTAATATTAGTTAATTGTTTACGAAAATTACCTTTGATTGTTGGTTAATTGTTTAAGAAGAATCGAAAACTTTTTTGACAGTCTAATTGTAGTTAACCAGTAGCAGAATGAGATACAAATGTGATAGTAGATTTGAGAAAAGATAAAAAGGAAAGTTTGTTTTCTCTTCACTCGTAATGTCGAGTTTGTTTCCAAAAAGTTCTAACTTTTAGAAAAGTTCTAATAATAATCTGATAGGAACTTGTCACCCATTGTGAATATCCACCCACAAGGAAAAGAGAGACACTGAAACAAAGAGGGTGGAAGATAAATTTCCGGATCAGCCCACGAGAGAGGAAAAAGTTCTGATTCCCATGATGAAGATTCGGTTGATTTGAGATTAACAGGGAACTTTTTGTTGCTCTAATAATGATTTTCCACAATTTCGATGAATCAAAGTTACAATTAACTCTCGATATTCTTGTTACTTTGATTGTTTATTAGTCAATTTATTGGGAGAGTAAATGAATTATATTGGACAATGTTGAGATTCCTTCTTGTAATGATTAAAATAAATTGTTTGAAAAATTGAAGGGAAAATGTTGATTCATCATTAGCATAGTTAGTTAATTAATTGTATCATCGACAGTTAAATTGAGTGAAAACATTGACAGTAATTGAATTGTTGATGGATTTCACAACATTTTCAAGTTAATTGTTACACAACCAAAATTTTCACTCAACACTTAGAAATATAAATGATATTTACCAACAAGAATCAGCAACAACTAAATCAACTTTATAATCAACGATTTTTTCATTAATTATCATTGCAATGATAAAAATAAATTCAAACAATCAAGTTTACTTGTTGCAATTATAAATTATCATGTAATTTGACAATTGAGTTTATTGGTTTTATTTATGCAAAAATCAGGTGAGATTAAGTTAATTTTTTAAAGAAAATGGGATTTAATTGTTTTCCAACAATCAAATGGTAAACACACAATTTAAAACAGAGAAGAATCAAAAAAAAACAATCAAGATCAAAATCAAAAGCACTCATAATGATTAATTATTTAGCGATTGGTGAAAAGGTGAAAATTGTACAAATGAAGAAAAGCTCGAGATCAAACAATCAGAATTGTCAACAATTAACTGATTGTAAAGGTTAATTGTCGTTCATTTGATGGGTTTAAACTTCATCTGGAAAAGCGGGTAAAGTTTCAACGATAAAGTCGATGTGTCTCTGTAAAAAGTAGACCGTTAGTACCGTTGGAAAGATGAGTAGTATCCAAACGGGGAAAACGATATAACGAATATCGGGTTCACCTTTACAAACTCGAACTGTTTCGATTAGGAAGTTAACGGTAAAATAGGCACATAAAATGGCGAAAACAATTTGAAACAATCGTAAGATTGGAATTAACTCTTTCCGTAAACCTTGAAGGAAAAGTATACAAGCAAATAGGCCGAAAATGCAGCCTGAGGCGACATAATCACGGTCTCGGACAATGGCCAGTATCGCGAAAATGGCAAGGATAACACTCTTGTAGATGCAAAGTATGGTCAAGTAGAAACTTTCCTTACTAGTTGTGAGCATATCTCGGCCTTTGCCGTTAATTGCATTTAAAGATGATAAAGTTGTACTGCTTCCGGAAACACCGGCGGGTAGTTGTAGAGTCGGTGGGTTTAGATGATGATGACTATTGATATGTTGTTGTTGTTGTTGAAAGTTATTGTTATTAACTGTGTTTGTTGTTGTCGTTGTGATTGAGGATGAGGATGAGGATGATGTGGTTGTGTTTACTGGGCTTATGGGGAGATCCATGGTTGGATCTAAGGTTGAGGTGGAGGTTGATGTTTGTTTTTCACTCATAATTGTGTGTTGATTGGGTTTTATTACAATTATCAATGGTAGTTGATGTTGATGTTGTTGATCAATTTTGGGTTCTGGTTTTGTTTTGTTTATTTTTGCTCTGGTTGTTTTTCAATGGGGTTTCTGTTGTTGGGAGGATAAGGATGAGGATGGAGATGGAGATGGAGTATGATGAAGATGAGCCGACTTATGGTTTGCGTAAGGATGATTTGCATCTAAGGAATCTTTATCTTTCTTACTTTCTATCTTCTCTGTCTATTTAACTGTCGCTTTCACTTTTCTTTTCCTTCAAATTTCATGTTAACTGTATTTCTAACTTTCTCTGGTTCATTTTGGTTCTAATAAACTTTTTTTTCTTCGTGAAGATGATTCGCTTATCTTAATCTTCCTTTTCTCTTTTTTCTCTTCCTATGTCTCATTTTCTCATCTTCTTCAGCATCTTCATCTTCATCTTCGTCTTCATCTGCATCTTTTTCTTCTTCTCCATAAACCTCCATCTTCTTCCTCAAAGTAACTGTTTTCTTTTCTTTCTCTATCTCCCTCGTCTTCTTCCCTTGCGATTTTCAGATTCTCTGAAGATGATGAAGATGAAGATGAGGATGAGAGAGGAAAAGTATGTTGAGATAATTTTGGTTTCTTCCAAGTTACTCAGTTATTATGAACTTTTCCATGTCTTGTCTTTATTTTTGCTTTTTTCTTCACCTTCTATTATCTAAGTTATGCTTGGATTCATTTTCATCATGAAAAAATACTCATGATGAGAGTCAGGATCATGATGATGACAAGAAAAAGTTCATTTTCATGTTTCACTTTACAATTAAAGGGGAAATTTTCATTTGTTTAATTATCATTTCAATGATTTTGTTCATTAAACTCAATATTCACCATAGATGAAAAAGTGTAACACTTTGCAGTTGAAACAATTGAATCTCTTTGATATGAATATATTTTTGGTTCAACAATTGGAAACAATAAATCCTTTAACTGTTAACAATCACAAACAGTAACAATCAACTGATTGTTTGAATTTCTCAAAGTTTTTCTTGGCAATCATCATTTAGTTGATTATCATTAGAAAAAAAAACTTTATTCTCATCATAATATTGATATGATTTGTTAATCATCTTGTAAAATTTTTTATACAGTCTCTTAATTATCCATTTAATTGTAAAATTTTGATTCTAGTTTGTTTATAATTGATGAATAGTTAATCAGATAATTTTTAAAAAGAAAAGTTTTCACATTAGTTATAAAAGAAGCTAAAAGATGGAGCCACTTTCTCAATACGAATTCAAAAATTTAATTGTTAACAATTAAGTTAACTAATTAGCAATAGTAGTTGGATTGTCAATTTTTAATGTTGACAGAACTGAAATGATCAAATAGATCACATGATTAGATTAATTGTAAAGTCGAGTTGAAACAATTAAAAGATCTGAACAAAATGATAACTAATTTTGATTTTTAATTGTTGACTTTTCATTGAGCAATTTGAAACACTAATCAAATTGTAATTGTTGATTCATTGAGTTATGAAAATTAGTTAACAAACCGAGTAAATATTAAATTAGATTAGGTTGTTAACTTTATGATTAGTCATTAATTGTCTATGTTAAATGTTAACCATCTAAATTGTTGAGTTAAATTGTCACAGGAAATTGTTTAATTCTAGTGAAAATTAAATAAAAGAAATTGAGTTTTATAACAATAATATGATCCGAATGAAATTTGAAGCAATTAAGTTAATTGTTAAATGTTTGTTTTTATTATTTTTATGGTAATTTAATTATTATTAGGAAATAATAATTTTAATTGTGATTTTGTTTTCGTCTCGTTAACATCTCGACAATGATAATTAAACCATTGATGATAATATCGAGTTCAATATTGATTGTTTTTGGAAATGTTGATTGTTGATCTTAATTTCAATCGATAAGTTTGTTAATTAATCAAATTAAATCATTTGGTATAAGATTGGTAATTAAGTAAATAGAAGTTCAAATTTTCAATGAGTATTTGTTGTTATCCATTTGAACAAATTAAATTGTGTTAATCATTTTCCTCCCTTTTGATTAACCTTGCGGAAGTAAATTTATGTAGACAAACATTTCTCTTGATATATAAAAAAAGATGAAGGAAACGGAAATGATGAGTTATCAAAACTGGATGGAGTTAACTGGAAATTGATTAAGTATTGAAAAGCGTTATGAATATGATGAGAAGAAGATGTTGAGAAGACAAAAAAAGATTAAATGAGAGATGATGGCTTGAGATAGAGAGAGAGAGATAGAAAGTTAATTAACGATGGTTAGATTGTCTTTTTTTGGTAATTAAGAAATTAGAAGATGATTGATTCATCTAATTTTGTCCTTTCAATTTCTTTGCGGTCTTTGGGTCAACATCACCGTAGTATTTTTCACTATAATAGGAGAGAAAGTAAAAAACAAAAGATTAGTTAAATGGTTGGATAATCTTCTAGAGGGATTAAGAAGAGTTAATCTCTTACCATCCTTGAACATTTTCAGGTTCGTCACATTGAAGTGTATCGGTGTTGAAAACGGTACCAAAAGAGCAGCCATAAGCACGAGCTACGGCATCGATACAGACATAAAATTTACGACAATCGGTTGGATGAGGATGACGAGTGTAATGTCCAGGTTGGTCACTTTCTCCGCCTTCGGGGCAAACGAAACCATCAGATAAAGCTAAATGAGTGAGAGAGAGCGAATTAATTAATATTAGATTATCAAAGAATAAGCAGAAAAAAAATTCTAATCCAATTAATCGTTTCACCAAATTGATTATCAAACTTTATCAATTTACCGTTATAATCATAATGATGACCAAATGTTATCAATTGTAGGTCAACAAACCTTTGATCACCTTTTAAAAGTTAATCATACTAATCCAATTTAGCCTGTAATTAACCTTATGATACAATTAACTAGATTAATATTCAAGTAATCATGATAATCCATTTATTATTTGCTTTAATCATCATTAACTGATTACCTTATTTGTTATCCAAAAATAAACTTTATATTTTTTATTCATTTGCATGTAGATTAGTTAATTGTTTGAGTAGATAAATATATTTATATATGAATATATAGAAAACAATTTACTTGATTGTAATAATAATGATAGGAATCAATTTAACAAATGATCCCTAACAAATTAAATTTAATCACCAATTAGGGTAACAAATTTATCCATCAACTGTAACCATTAACATGTAAGTCCATTAGTTATGCATTGATAATGAAACAAAATTGAAATAATTTTAAAGTTTGATGATTAAATTAAATGATAGAAACAACAATTAACAACATTAGACATTATGTATTACTATATTTTATATATATGATTACACTTAATTGTTGTGATGATGTAGACAAATTTAAATGATAATCGAAAACAATTGTTAACCTTAATTGTTGCGATTTTGATTTTTTTTTTCTCAAATTCTAATAATCATAAAATCGTAATCATCTTGAGAAAAGTAAATCATTACAATAAGCAAAGTTTTACTATTGAAATGATCAATTGAACTTGACTGATTAATCAATTGATTGACTCTTCCCAAGTCTCATTGATATAATCATGATAATCATCAGTCATGTCTGATCTTAATCACAACAATCAACTGAAAGGTAAATACAAATAAACTAAATAGTAAACGATATTTATAATATTATATAAATAGACTTTCTAATTGTAATCATATTTATTTTGTTACCTTTTTGGTCAGAAAAATTGATTACTAATCTAAATTTAGTGTTAATCTTAACCTCAACTCTAAATTAACTATTAAAACACCAACACTCTTGATCATCAATTAACTTGATCTTTATAAGATGATGATGATGATGATGATGATGATGTGGTTTAGTTGGTTTGTTTTCTGATGATAAAAATGATTTCGCTTTTTTTATATTTCGATTTCTGAAAACTTTAAAAATCTCCGTTCATTTGCCTCAACCAATTAACCGTTATTCAGGTCATAATTTTATTTTGATTGATAGAGTTCATAGTTAATCATCATCATCATGTTAGAAAGTTATAATAATAGTTGGGTGGAGGCGGTGGGAGTGGAAGATGAAGAGGAAAAAAAGTTCGACGAAAAAAAAAATAAACGAAAACTATTCATTCTGTTTACTATTTTTACGAATTCATTGACTAATTTTCAATTCTTATTAGGAAACTTTCACTCTTGTGGTCAGTAGTTGTGGTCATTTACTTACTTGCTTTGTCACATCGAGAAACTAAATCAGCCCAAACACAAACCCGTTGTTCATCATCGTAGGCCAATCCGGGTGGACAGTCGTACCTATTGGCCTCACCGTTCCAGCACGAATAAAATACTTTACAGTTGGTCGAATGAGGGAAAATTCCGTACAATCGTGGACAATTAGGTGTACTTATCGGAGGTTCTGTTAACAATTAAAAGAAGAAAAAAGTTCAGCAACAATTAAATTCCAATGAAAATCAAGTACAATATCAATAATTAACTTTCTTTTGAAACAATTAACCAAATTATAACACCTTATGATAAGTCAATCGACTTGATCAATTTGAAAATTTTACCATTTACATAAAAACAACAATTAGCTAATTATGATTATTTGAATTGAACTATCTGATTAAGATTCTTCTTGATCATCTAACATAACTGTTAATTACCCTAAATATTGTGAATAATTTATATATATAAATGTAAACAAATTAGTCTACAGAATTGATTATCATCATAATGATAATATTTAATTCATCCATTTGGAACTGAGTAAATTCAGTTGGAATTGAAAAATATTTCATCTAATCAACTTAATGAGTATTATTATCATCATGTAACGAATCATAATCCGTTAAAATGATTAACTAAATGCTAATTAAATGGTGAATTGAATGTCAAACAAATTGGTTGTTGAAGGCGTGAAGAAAACCAATTTAATGACAATTAGTAAATCTAATATTCTGATCATGATGATGAATATGAAACAGTTATATTATCATGAAGATGAAGATGATGATGATGATATAAGAAAAAAATTGTTGGATAATATTTATTGTTGTTTTCTGTTGAAGAAGATGCAGTTGGATGAATTGTTGATTGTTATCATTAAATTGTAATCAGAGCATGATTGTTGTTTTTATTGTTATTCAACAATTTACTGATCACTTGTTGATTTGAAAGCGAGATTTTTTGATTTTCCCTTAATTGTGAGAAGTGTGATTAAGAATTAAAAGAAAAAAGTAAAACAATCTTATCAAATCAAAGTAACTAAATCAAATCAACAGTCTGTTTCTTAATTTAAGTTTCAATTGATAAACCATCCATGTTAATCATTTAACAATCAAAACAATTAAACTTTTTGATTCTTCATTCAGTTTGATTACAGTTAATTATCATCATTAAGCATAGTTAGACAATCAAAGTTTGTGTTGATTGTTTTCAACTAATAAACAATTAGCATTTTCCATCTAGATTAGTAAATTGTAGTCTCAGATTAACTATTTAAATTGCTAATTGTTAATTCTCATCGTTAATTTGTTTCTTCCCTGCTTAATTGTTGATGTCTGATGATGATATCTTTGGGTGTGCTAAATTGTTCAACAACAATTAAAACTAAAGTCTATTGATATATATGAAGTAATTGTAACAAGATAAAAAATTATATAAATCTGATTCCTTAATCAACGCCAACGTTTTTTTTTAATTGCTACAAATGAACGAGAAAAAAAGGACAATTAAATGATTCCGTTAATTGTCAATCATTTGATTGCTTGATTGTTAAACAGACAATAATGAAAACATTTTTCATCAACTCATCAAACTGATTATGATTGTAAAGTCAACAACACCTTGGTGAGAAAAACAATTAACTATAACAATCAAAAATTGATGAAACTTTAAGGTTTGGAAACTAAATTAACCCAACAATCAAAAGGTAATAATATATTAGGTCAAAGTTAACGAGAACGATAAATTTTGAAAGGTGTGTCTATGTAACTGTTTATGGTGACATGTTAATGGTTATTGATTTAAAGAGAGAGAGAGAGAGAGAGATAATTGGATTGATTAATTACCCATATCGGTACGATGACCACAGTCCACTGAGAAGGGGTAGGCACAGTTTTCCCTCATGTAATCGGCGTCGTCAAAGACTAGTCCGTTACCGCAGGTCTTGAGGGTCGCGGTCCCGTTTTCACAGGCATAGTATTTATCACAGCTCTTGGAGTGGGCAAAGAAACCCGTCTTCTCGGGGCAGGCAAAGTTTGCCGCTAGAATTGGCCGAGGTGGTGCTGGCACATTGGCTGGTGCTGAGTTGGACTCTCGAGGTGCAGATTGTGGGGCTACTGCAGGTTGGAATGATTGAAAATTACCCGAATTACCTTGTGGTCTATCGACACCACCACCACCTCCCTGTGATCCACCAGGTCCACCAGGGAAGTTAAATTGTGGCCCTTGACGTTGACAAGAAAAACCTTAAAAGACACAACGAAAGACAATTTAGTTAATTAAGTTTCTTTTTGCTATTTTCCAAGTAACCAATTAGTACTCTAATCAAAACCGTGTAGAAATCATCAATTGTCAACAATTAGAAAATCAAATAATTACCTGAGATTGTTAATAAAACAGTTAATGTTAATGTAAACAACATTTTTGAACAATTTAAATTTTGATGATGATTGAAAATAAAATAATCTTTGATGATGGAAATACAAATTATATAATAAGGATGATGATTGGAACCCAAATGACACTACAAGTTAACAAATAACAATAATAATAATAATAACAATTAGTTAATTTACTAATTAGAGAGGAGAAAAAATTTGACAATAATCAACAATTAAGCAGCACAATTTAGTTTTATAATAACAAACTAAACAAAATTGAAGAAGGAAAAAAACTTTATCCAATTGAGAAACAATTGATTTTCAACACACAAAATTTATATTTACCTTAACGTTAGAAATTGATTGTGATTTAAAGTTTCATTGAACGATTTGTTAATTGTTGTTGATGTTTGTAGGTTCAAATCATTTTCTAATATGAATTAAATTGAGAAAATAAACATGTTAATATATTATATTTATTTGGAATTGAGGATGAAAGAGTAACTCGAAATGTCGACAATAAACCGGCAACTCAAGCATTTTATTCGTTCTGATAAACGTGTAAACAACTTTCGTGCTCGAACAGGACCAACCCTCATGACCTAAAACAAGCGAACCTCTTATGAGCCAATCCGACTTATCTTCCATCATCCTCATCCTCATCTTCATCTTCATCTTCTCTCTCTCTCTTTCTCTCTGTCTTTCATTTGGTTTCAACGATTCTATCGTTTAACTGATTAACACTCAGAATCAATTTCGGCTCACCCAATATCATCATCATCATTTTCGTCTCCATCATCATTGTCATCATCATTCTGATCATCATGTTGATCTTCGTGTTGATCATCATGTTGATCATCATGTTGATCTTCGTGTTGATCATCAGCCTCTTTTACTTTGGGTTGATTCACTTTGAACTGAATCGAATTGTAATTTTTTTCCACCTCCTTCTCATCCCTTAATCTCCCTTTTATTTTTCATCAATTCTCATCATTATCTTCATTTTATCTTCTTCATCTTCTTTATCGTCTCACTTTTTTATTCTCTCTCTCACATTTTTCCGTGTTAACATGATCGCTTTTAATGGTTAGTCCTTTTTGTATTCTTTGTGTGTTTCTGTATATGTGTTATCATCAATATCTAATCAGACTCATCATTGTTGATGGAAAACATTATTATTAGATTAGATTTGATTCTAATTGAATCAAGATTAACTTAAACCATTCACAATTATTATTATTTTTACTCCATTTTTTTTTGTTTCTTTTACTTTGATCTTCAATTGATCTGATTTTATATCATCAACTTTTCTGATTGTTGATTACACTTGAAAATCAATCATTTCAGACTAATTTATTAATAACTTTCATACTGTTAATTTGATTGTTTAATCACAATAAAAATATTCAAATTGTAGTAAAAATGGAAACGGTTTTGCATTTTGTATAAAAACCTCTTCGTCCGTACGAAATTAATATTAATTAATAGTTTAATTAACTATTAGATTGATTAAAAGTTAATCATCGTTAGATTATAATCTCAAACTAACCTTACGATTGATTGAATTTCATTTCAATTCTTGTTTAGTAATTTAAGTTAATTTCTGTTTTTTTTTACCTTAAAAAGAACAAAAAAAAATACAAACAATTAACTAATCAGATTGTAAAAGTAATTAAAAGAAATTGAGACAAAATCAAATTATCTTAATTATCTTTGTTTTAGAAATTTACCAATAATCTTTTTCTTATTTCAATTTAGTTTTACAAAGAAGACAATGAAGAGAGGAGACAGAAAGAGAGAGAAAGAGACAAGAAGGGAGGAAGATAATCGGTAATGCGGAAAAGGAAATGATGGCGAGAGAGAGAGAGAGAGAGTATAAAAAATAAGACAGATTGAGGAATAACAATAATGATTAAGAGGTAGTTGTTCACATATATCATGAGTTAATCTCCTAAAAGGGATAATCGAGGATTCGAAATGTTAATCAGGAAAAACAATGATTCGGGCGTTGATCATGTAAAATCAGCGTAATAATAAAAAACAGAATAAACAAAAAGAAAAAGAGTTTCCTGAGATTTTACAAGAAAACGAAACAAGCACGTAAGAGAGAAAGGGATTAATCATTGTGAGAGATAGAGAGAGAAATACAAAGGGATTAACAGTTAATCTTTGGTAAATGGATGAGAAGTTCAAGTTGATTCTCAATCTCATCTAAATGAAATTGATTCTTTTTCCAATAACTCTACATGGATTTTTCTGCTTTTTTCATCCTCGAAATCATCTTTTGCTATTTAAATCATCAATCTAGTTAATCAGTTGATTGTGTTTAAGTGGATAATTGAAATTGGGAGAGAGTTGAGGCAAAAAAAAAAGGATGAGCGAAAACAATTTAAAAACAATTAAGATTAAATTTACATTATAAATCAAGAGTATGAAGAGAAAAACAAAAAGTTTTGGATTAAAAGGATTTTGTCTGTTGACACATTTGGCAACATTCACATGCATTGGTCAAAGTTAATTCCTAATCATCTAGTTGATAATTAACTTATCGAAGTTGATTGTTACTATAATTGTCTTCCATTGATCATTAGAAAGTGATTAGTAAATTGTATATCTTTTTCCTCTTTCATTGTTGGAATCCCTTTTTTTGTGTTAATCTTCAAGTTTGTTGTGTGTAATCCTTATGGTAATTGGAGGAATTAATCATAAATTAAAATGATCACAATTAGAAGAGGGGAAAAGGATGACAGTGAGAGAGAAAGAGGAAGATATGGAAAGTATTAATTTTCAATTAGTATTAATAGTATTGTAAACAATTGGTGGTCTAAATTTTTGTAGTAATTAGATGAAAGAAAAGGAAACATCATTTCCTAATTCATCTTCTTATATCAAGTCTAACAAATTATTTATATTAATGGATTTTTATACAATGAGCAATGCTTGTGAATTATCAAGTGAACAGAGAGAGAGGGAGAGGGAGAGAGAGAGAGAGGTGGGCTGGGTGAGAAATAGATGGGTACAGGGTGGATGAGAGGAGAAGATTCAATATTGATATAGATTACAAGATGACGAGGGTTTAAGAGGAGGTCCGATGACGGTTTTGGTAAGAAAAAGTTGGAAGGTCTTAGGACTACAATTGAAATTTATGAAGGGAATGAAATTACAATTATTATAAATAAAAATAAACTTAAATATGACTAGTATTTGCGAATCGCTTGTTAATTGTTTTAGTTTGTTTTGTGTGTGTGTATGTGTTTCTCCTTCTTGTGTTTGTCTTAATTGTTGTTGTGAATAATCAAAGCTGACGATTTGTTGTAATTGTAGGCGAAAGAAAAAAGTTAATCAATAAAATCCATCCATTCAATTTTACTTTTTCAAAGTTGATGTTGATGTTGTTGTTACGCAACTATCATATATACTTGAAATTAGTTAATTGTGATGATGACGATGATGATGGTTAATCATTTCCATGGGTGGTGTCCACCTTGATACAATTAAGATGAAAAAGGAAGATAAAAAATAAACAACAGGAAGTTGTTCAATTGGTGGGTGATTGTTTCTTGTGTTAACCTTGTTTCTAGTTGATGACTTTGTAATTAACCATAAAAATATACATCAGGGATTAAAAGTTGTACATGATTACCATTTATTTTATTAATCCCTTTTGCTGCCTTCCGGGTGTCAGTTTGATATAATCGAGAGACGGGATTACACACATTCATACACATACACACCTAGTTACGATTTTCAATTGTCCATCCAACTGGATAAGTTAATCAGATAACGATACTTGGTGTTGTAATAATTATCATTTTTTGTGATTGGTTTCAACTTTTTCATAAAAATCGGCGAGAACAGCAAAAGGTTATCAACTTTAATAGTTATTAAGTTTTGTGTGTGTGTGTATGTTTGAAGTATTTTTCGTTTTCATGAGATAAATGGGTTTTAATCATCGTCTTTAATTGTTGTTGTTGTCATCATGTTCACGGGTCCACTGAACTGATGTGTACTTTTCTTTGCTGGTTTTTAGATGACAATTTAGCTCCTTCTTGATTTATAGTAACTGGTTCATAAAGAAGACGTTTCTGCTTCTGATCAGGTTAACAGATATTCATGGTTTCTTAATTCATGAATATTTCATGTTTAATCCAATCTCTTGAATTTTCCGTTTCATTTTCCGAACACACTTCAAGTGAAGGAAAACAAATATGACGAAAAGTACTTCATGCTTAATGGTGTTTTCATACATTCATATTCATATGTATGCAACTGTTGTTGTTGTTGTTGTTGTACCTTCTACTGTTGATTATGATGATCAAGTAAAATTAAGAATCCTTTTAATATCCAGAAACGTTGATTTGAATATTTTCCCTCTTACTTTGTGCTACCATTCATAGTGTTTTATCAGCTATTTAGAGATATTTATCCTTTAATACTCCTCTCATTGGGCATTAGAAGGACATTGGAAATAAAAATTGGTGACCTTGGTGATTTCTTCATCTTTAAGGAAATGGCTGTTCCGGAATCGGTTATCTGTACATAATTTCCAGCTGATTAAACTTTAACGGTGTAAATTAATTATCTTTAGCAGCCAATCTCAATTGAATCAAGTGTTGGCCATAAAAGGAAAATGCTTTATTCATGTTGAAATCATTTTCATCTCGATTTTTTCCTTTTCAGAGTAACCATGCTCTCTATTTTTCTCCTGCCAGTTAACAGGTAAATTCACAGAAATTCAATACGTAGTCACGGTGGAAGATGGAATGAGGCACTTTTGTTTTTTTTGCATGTTATCATAGAAGCAGAAGAGGATTAAGTCAAGATGATAGGTGAATAAAAGGAAAAAGTCTCCCACAGTGTAAAATAAGTCTCTCGATTGATTGAAGAAAATGAACAACAGCTTAATGTATTAGAGTCCATATCATTATCTTTTTCTTGTTGTCATCATTTATCTCGCATGGACGTCCCGGAGGAGGAAGGGAGAAAGATCCAGGGTGGTGTATACAAGAAGAAGATGTAAAGTATTTCATTGACAATATCAGCATTTTTTTTCTCGCTTCCTATGGAGAGATGCTTATGAAGTAGAAATGCCCAAGATAAGACACCAGAAGAACAGAAAGATGAAAGATGATGAATATTAAATAGAAACCAGTATAAATATTCAAAGTAATGAAAGAGAGAGAGAGAGAGAGAGCACAACCACCCACAAGTGAGAAACAATGGCGAGTAATAAAAGTTTCAGCAGAATCTTTGATAAAAAAGATGAAGCTTGAAACCATTGAAAAAAAAAATGATGTATCTCCTGGCGATGATGGTTTGTGATGATGCTTTTGCTTTTTGGTTGAATTTTGTTGTTGCTTCAATTGAATAAAGATGAGATGTTCCGTTGAAAATAATAATTATATCAACAATCTTGGTGATAATATTAATAGAAAAAAAAGTGGAAACTTTTTCCTATTAGTTTTCTTTTTCTTTGTCAATAAAAGGTCATCCTCTCTTGATCCATATTTTTATCATTATTTCCTAATTTTTGCCTCTGGTGTTGGTGGATCTTGTGTCAATTTCATTCCAATGAAAATTGATTCCAGAATCATTTTCATATTCTCACAGACACAACATTGTTGTATTATGTTCAAGTTGAAGAGAGTTGGAGAGAAGGAGAAGAGAGAGAGAGAGAGAGAGAAAGGTGATAAATTAAATTAAAAAATCGCCAATGCTGGACTTGATAAATTTCCTCGGTGGTTAAAGCTTGGTTTTCACTTCTTCAGCAACACCTCCCCACTTTAATTTGTATGTACCCGTCCTCCATTTTATCTCTGGATCCCAAAGAGCTTTAAGAAATACAATGGATGCGGTGAACTCACGAAAACACCAAGCGATCACAAATTCTGTTTTAGCGAAAGGTAATGAACCATTCTGTTGAAAGTGAGAGAGTTAAAAACAATTAGTAAAATCATTAGGAAAAGTTTTCAATTAAACTCTATTCATTATCATTTAAATGAAAAATTAGAGGTCAATTGATGACAAAGGACTTTGATTTATTGAATCTAAATGGTTGAATATCATGTTGGAAAAAAAAGATATTGAATTATCTGTATCGATCAAGGTTGTTAATGAAAAAGAGTAAATCATTTTTAAAATGTTGCGTTTCCAATCAATTTTCAATTATAATTAAATAAAAGCAAAGGGAAAAGGAAAAGGAAAATTTTTTCTCATTAGTAGTTTAAATTGCAAATAATTAATTTAAATTAACTAAAACGATGAAAGCTATAAATTATTATATCGAGAGAAAAATTGTCACTCGAATAGTAGTAAATAGAAATGATCTTTGTATCATTAGGATTGATTATTATTAAACCTTAAGTGAATATGTATGTCATTGTCAACCTAACATGATAATGATTTTTACCAATCAAACTACAATTGTAGTAAATGATTTATTGGATTGTTAAGTATCAGTAATATAAGAGAAAAGTGTTATCAAAACACAATTAAAAAGCCAAACAACTCACTTGAATTATACATAATAGTGCGTAGTCAAGAAGAAACCACAGAAGAGCATGGAACAGGTAGACCACGAATGGATCAAATTGGAAGAGAAAATTTAAAGACCAGGAAGCTAAAATTCCCAGGAATACACATTCGGATATTGGCTCTAAAATGATGGTACTAGGAACCATGGCGAACCTGAGCTTAGCCCATCTAGAGAAAAAAAAGATGAAAGAAGAAAAAACAATTAGCAATTACGAAATCTTGAAAATAGATAATTTGATTTTTTGGAATTGATGGAAAGAAACAATTACCTTGCTATTCTATTTTGAAAAGATTCAACTGCTAATGGAGCCGAATTTTGCCAGGCTGGTTGTGAGCTTATTCTTACTTTCCAACCTCTGATTGAGAAAAGAATAACAAATAATTTGATTAGAATCAATAATCGATTATATCTGAATAAAAACAATTGATTAGATATTAATGTAAATAGATTACCTATCGGTAAGTGATTTGGCAAAGAAAAAATCTTCAGCAAGGTAACGGGCAAACGCCTCGAGGCCACCAACCTCATCGAGTAAATGTTTCCTCATTAGTGCTGACATTCCTGTACAACAATTAACTCCCACAAGATCCGTTGCTAAATAAATTCTAGCATGAGCTGTACCAAAGTAAACCTAAGATTGTAAAAAAAAACAAAATAAAGTAAATAGAAACATTATAAACACATAAACAAGAAGATGAGAAAACACAAATTAATCTCATGATTTCGATAGAAAATTTTGTAACGATCAAATAGGAAAAAAGTAATCAATGATGATTAAAACAGAGTATAACCATGAAGGAAAATAACAATAAAATGATTAAAAACAAACTATAACAACAGAAAAAACTTTCAACATACAGAGTAAATGATAATTGTTTATCTGATTAACCAGAACAGAAAAGAGGTTTATAAATATATAACAGAGAGAGTTGTATTGATTTACTGACGTCAATGTTAATTTAAGAGAAACAAAAATAAACGGAATAACGGAAGCTACAAAGTCCAAGGATAATTATCTGGGTGAAGGCCTAATAACGCACACGGACAAATAGCCAAGCTAATAAATGGAATGGACCAGTTAATCAATCGACCAACCTTTTCTAGAGTGGCCGCGAAACCTTTTCTATCACAAGTAAATGGCATTTGATGAACTAGGGCTACATCATCTCTCATGGAAGTGACCATATCAAGTAAAGTATCTTCTTTCACTGTAAAGAGAAAAGAGAAAAACGAAAAAGTTAAGATTAGTAAATAAGAGTAGACAACAATTTATCTATGGGTGATTTATCAGCTTTTTAAGAAATTGATTATGGATTATAAAGAGTAAAGGATGAAAACAAGATGAAGATTAAAGGAGTCTATGGATTAATAGGGAAGAAAAAGGAAGAGGAGTTGAAGAAATTAACAGGATCAGTAGTTGTTACTAATACTTCATCTTCCTACATTTCTTTTGCTCTCTCTCATCTTCATTTAGATTAATAGTTGAGGAGAAAACAAATTCTGGCATAGAATCTGAATGTTATTCTGATAAATTTTCAAACTTGAAACAATTTTCTGAATAACTTTTGTTTGCCAAGTTTAACAGACAAACACCAAGGATTCAATAGGCCAGTAATTTATATACACAGGAAAATAAGGTTGAACAAACGATGACTTGTTTCTGGTAATTAGTTGATGATCGTCGTAAAGATAAAGAGGTGGAAATTTACTCAATGAAAGTTAATCTAATTAGATTAAAATTGATTGTTTCAAATTTGTTCTCTCCACTTGATGATTATTTGATAAAACATTTGATAATCATATTTAATGACCATCAATATGAAGTCACCATCATAATCATAAAAAGAACTTGAAATTATTTGGAAAAAAAAGCAATTATAATAATAGCAGAATAATAATCCATAATCTCCATAGTTGTTTGATGTTCGAGTGAGCAGATTAAATGATAATTAAAACGTACTTCTTATTCCACTATCGGAAATGAGTATTAAATCATATTTAGCTGCATCATATCCTGGTTTCATGTTGTTAATTTTAGGATTAATGCCCACTTTGTTGCCGCCAATAAATATTTTAGCATCTACATTGGGATATTTTTCAATTAATCGTTTAACAAACATAATTGAAGCATCCTTGTCATCGTGTATGCAAAAAAGTAATTCAAACTAGAAGTGTAAAGAGAAAAAAATGAAAAGTTAATCGAGATTAAATTAAGAATGAACTTGGACGATCCAACGCTCTTTTACCTGTGGATAGTTGAGAAGGAAAAAACTCTCCAAATTAATGAATAGATTTGAGTCAATACCCACTAAAGGTTTAATTATGGATACACCAGGTAGAGGAGTCTCCGTAGGTAGAATTGTTTTCCTATGAAGTTTCATTTTCCTGTGGAGAAAGAAAAAACAAAAGAGGAAAAATAAAAAAAAGAAGAATTAGAATTAATGTTCAATTTTCTTTAAAATGTAAATATTGAGAAAATGATAACTTCTCATATTATGTATTTTTCTACAACTGATTCTATGGAATTGGGTTAACTTAATTAAAAGATATCATCAACTAAACTGATATTATTATTTTACTTCTACTGTTACTACTGGTACAACCTAGTTCCATCATCCATTAACAACTTGATCGATACTATCAACTATCAATACGAATGAAAAAAGGGAGAGAGAGAAAAAAGAGAGAAAGAGAAAAGTAATGATAATAAAAAACAAAAGCTCAATTGTCAAACTAATATTACCAGTGAAAATTACATGGTCAAGAGTATACAAGGTCTTGAGAAATGATTGTACAGAAATCAATCGGTGGAATTAAACATTGGATGGAAATGAAACCAGGAGAGAAAGAGAGAAAAGGGTTGAATAAGAAGAAAAACATGAGATGAAAAGAAAGAAAGAGAGAGAGAAAAGATGAATAAGATGAATAAACAAGCAGACAGACAGGTAGTTCCAATGCACAGGATGAAAGTCTGAAGTAATATGAAGACTTGAAGGACCGGTTACTCAAGATGAATTAGTGTTTAGAGGTTACGGGTGAAAGTGAAAGTTGAAAGCAACATGAAACATGATAATCAGTTATTGGCACCGAAAAGTAAAAAAAAAAGTAGGAGAAAAATGTGAAGAGCTAATGAGACACTTATGATACATATGATAGGGTAGAGAAGAAAATAATTCACACACTCAACCCAAACTATATATTAATACTTTGATGACATTGGAGAAGATTATTGATGAACAAGATTAATCCTTTTTCTGATGGATTTTTGTTTCCTTTTACACAAAAGGGTTAACATGAAGATATACACATGAATTAGGTGTTACACCAAGCAATTCTTACCCATTGAAAATGGCCATAAAATGTACCAGCCAGATAAATAACCAACCGGAGAAGAAAAAAATTGCAAATCCATATAAAGTATATATAAGAAGACCCATTATTTGGTGTCTATCCTTTGATTATCTATTATCACAGACGACACAATTGCCGTTTTAACTTGGGAATGGTGACTTATTTTTTGATCAACTAATAAGTGAATGATGATGATGGTGATGACACAATTAAATCAAATATACAATTTCTATGACTACTATTTATTGATGGTAATTGTTGTTGGTGGAAATAGTAAAAAGAAAAAGAGATTGAGTTGAAACTGTTCTCTCAGCTCTTGTTTTGTTGTTTCCTTGATCTGGTGGATGAAAAAAGAGAAAGTCCCAAACAAGTGTAAATTGTAGAGTAAAACATGCAACACAAATTACAATTTATGGGTAAATTATTAAACTAAATAAAGAATATCTCCTTTTTTCTCCTTTTCTCTTAGAAGAATGAAAAAAATTCAATTCTCATAGAGAAAAGAAACACAAGAGGACAGAAAGAAATCATCATTCAAATGGAGAATGAAAAGAAGCAAAAGAAAAACCAACACCAAGGTAAGAGAGAGAAAGAGCAACGCCTTTCTCTTTCTCTTTTTCTCTCAGAGATGAAAAAAAGAAAGAGAAATTAGAGACAATCTTCAATCTTCTTTCGCTCTCTTTCTATAAACATATTCAATTTGTAGACACAAGAGGAGGAAAGAGAAGAAGAAAACCAAAAGAGAGAAAGAGAGATGAGAAAGTAAGAAAAAAAAACACCAAGAGTTAAATTGAATCCAAAGAGAGATGAAGATGAAAAGTAACAAGAAAATCAACTAATTAACAGAAATAAGAACAAGAAAAAAAAAGGTTATCACTTATTGCAATTAGATGAAATATTGTCACCATGTTATCGGTTTGTTCATGGAAATGAATTGAATCAGAAAATTAAAAACAAATCGAGAGAAAAAATGAGATGATTAAAACGATGAGATAATTAAGAAAGTTGAATTTGTTTTCTTTTCTATTCTCTTTGGAATAGAAAATGAAAAATGAAATGTCGACAGTAAAATAGAAAGAGAAAAAGAAAAGAAAAGAAAGACTGATGACTAATCACCGGTTCTCTTATCATTTCAATTTCCATTTTTTAACCGAATTTTAATTGTCGCCATTTAAATTATTCTTAACTTTGTTCTTATTCATTTTTTATCTCCTTTATTTTCGTGATTCAGGTCACCATGCGATTTATTTCCTTCTAATCAATTTACCTTCTCACCTTTAAATTATCGTCCAACTGGTTAATCACAATTAAGAAACAAAAATCAACTTTGACATTTTCTCCTTCTACTGGTCAACCTTTTAGGCCTAATTTTTGTCTATATTGGTTTGGGTAAGTGATTTTCTAATTACAACCATTTAAGTGACTATTTTTATAATTAGTTTCATTTAATTGACTATTTTTGATCATTTCTAAATTGTGCTTGTGTCTTTTTTGATTGTCATTAGATTAGAATCATAATGATAATTTTGAAAAAAATGTAGCTCATTTTCAAAGGTTAAACCAACCATATTATTCATAATCAGTTTTTTTCCATTATATTGACACAATATAGAGTTTTGAGATGATTAATATAAAGAGACAATTAACAATTAACTTGGTCAATTGTTTTAATTGTCTGATTAAATTGAATTGTTTAATTGTACATTCTTTTCCATCTGATAGCTTTAAAGGTCTCAATTGTGTTGAGAGAAATCTGAAAGGGTCTTCATTTCAATTGGTTATAATCAAAGAAAATCATTTAATTACTGACAATTAGTCAATATATTACTCATTTAACTTAATCTGATTCTCTTTTCCATCAATTGTAGCTAATTGCATATGATAATGATTATAATCATACGTTAATAGTTACAGTCGAAATTGTAACAAATTCTTTGATTTTTATTTCATTTTTATTCTCTTTATTTTCAGATTTATCTTATTTCTTCGCTATCTATTCATTGAAATTCTCATGGATTCATTTTTATGGTTTCAATTCATTTCTTTTTGGTTCCCCTGATAATCAATGTGTTCATTATTCACTTTAATCATGCAATTCTAAGCTGAACAAACTCATGGTATCATCGTGCTTAAAGCTTAAACAATCTAAATATGAACACCAAGAAGAAGTTAAAAAAAGGATCAGTCTTGTCTGTCTCTAACTCGAGAATGTAAATATTATCATGTAACAAGATTCTGATTATCAGAATTACTTTATAACGAGAATTAACTCAAATGACCTTGTCAAGGAACCAAAGATATTTAATGGACTATAATGATGATAAAAAATGATGATGGAAAGTATAAGATTTAATCAACCAACCCACCGAGTAACTTATATTTTTTGTTTCAAGGTAAATTTGTTTCTACACACACACATACTCACCAATCCTTAAGTGTAAACCTGATTCTTAGAATGATCAAATCAACCAATTAGATTAACTGTCGTCCTTCCTATTGATTCAATGTTTTAATTGTTTCAAGAATTAATCATTTCACAATCAAGCAATTTGCAATCATACATTATAACATTGTTGTTGATGATAGCGATGAATATGTGTAAACATTGATTCTTAGGAGATGATTGGCTTTTTTTTTCATTAACCGTATTGATGATTTGCTTTGTTATCAATTTTTTCTTTATGCTGATTAACTGATTTAGATTCCAATAATATTTTCAATTGCCAATGACTGATAATTTTATGGGTAAACTTGGAAAAATGGATTAACCTTTGATTGTGAGTATTAAAGTGTCAAGATCATTTATCTGTTATGATCTAAAATGAGGAGATTAACGAAATATTATTGTTCATTTTTGATAATTAACCAGTTCTTTTCTTTTTAACTAGATTAGTAATATTATTTCGAGAACAATAGTAATTGTTCAGCTGATTGTTTCATGTTTTATTTCACCAATGTAATTATAATCCTTATCTTGTTGTATTTCAACAGGTTCTTTAAGCCAACACCTTAAACATGATCATCAGATGTTTCAATTGGAGTTAATTGTCGAGTTTAATAACATTATCTGAAATGGATCAATTACCTTTAAATAATCAATTGGGTATTAATCAATTAACATTTTTTTCTGTCAATAAATCGTTGACTGATTTTGGAATACAACTTTTTCCTCTCTCACTCATAGATTTGATTAGTGTTTCATCTGTTAATTTAATTATTCTTTAAATCTTTGAGCACCACCAATAGAAAAATTTTATTAGAAGTTATTTTTCTCTTTAGGTTCGAAGATTTTGTTTCACAATTCCATTAATTGTTGTTGATTTTGTTACTCCATTTATCCTAAACGATCATTTCCAATTCTCTTGCGTATTCCAATGTTTTACAGGCTAATTGTTCACATGAAATCTCATTATTGAAAGAAGGTTTTGTTAATTTCTTTGGTCGTAACATTGAACCATTCTCTTTGAAGAGAAAAACTTTATTGTAACAACCTTCCATCAGCCATTGTTCCGAACTAACTGGATGTTTGATATAAATATTATTCTGAATTTCATGAGCTGGAAGAAGTTCCAATTCCTAAAAACACAAAAAGAACAATAAGAAAAAGATAAAAATTTCTCTCTTTCGACAACGATACAATTGCCGTTCCAACTTGGGAATGGTGACTTATTTATCGATCAACTAATATGTAAATGGTGATGACACAATTAAATCAAATATACAATTTCTATGATTACTATTTATTGATGGTAATTGTTGTTGGTGGAAATATTAAAAAGATATTTTCATTCAATATTCACTTTAATCATGCAATTCTAAGCTTAACAAACTCATAATATCATCATGCTCAAGGCTTAAGCAGTCCGAATATGAACACAATAGACATTCACCGCTAAAAAGATCAGTTTTATCTGTTCTTAATTCGAGAACGTAAATATTATAATGGAAAAATTTTCGAAAAATGCTCTACATTAGTTACTAAATTAGCTCATAGATGGCGCTTCGATTCTGGTTGTTTTGTTTTCATTTTTATTTTTCTTTTCCATGAGTTTTTGGGTTAATTTAATTTTCTGTTTGTTGATTAATCTAATTGTTGAGTTTTCTTAGATTTGTTGTTCATCATGAGTATAGTTTATCATACGGCACTTATCGGAGGTGCTCTTTGCATAGGCTATTTCGCTGTAATGAGCGTTAAAGGTGTTTATCCAAAGGAGCTTCCAATGGTAAGTTTTACTTATTTTGATTTCGAAAATTATTATTTCTCTCTCTCTCTACATATATGAGTTAATTGTTCTTATGTAATTTGTTTTTTTATAAGGAGGATAAAATTAAACAAGAGGCTAACCGTAAAAATATCGTCGAATTAGCCAAACGTGAAGGAATAACCCTGAAGTCACAATACTTTAAAAATCCACCATCAACTTGAACCAATCGACTCAAAATTATCTCTTGTATCACCAATGTAATAATTTTTTCCTCTATTGTAAATTTAATGTCAAAACTGTTTGTCATTAATTTAGTTGTATCATATGAGAGATTGTTTATGTAAATAACTGATAACAATAACTAGAAGAGTTTTCAATCTCTTCCAACTATAAATAACCCAAAAAAAGACTCAAAAGTGAATCAGAAATTAACCAACATCGTGCTGAGAAAAATTGTAACATTCGTTTATCCAACTGGTGAAAGGTGGAGCAAAGGCCAAGTTTGTTAGGATACAACAATTAATTGAATAGAATTGTAAATATAAAGGTAAATCATCCAAGAGAGAAAGACCAAGAAAGACGAAAGAAATGGCTAATGAAGCCACTTGATGGCTCTACGAGTCGATGATCACCTGAAGACTTGAAAGATGAAAATGATTGACGATGTGTCCTCATCTTTTTATTTGGTGTCCATTAGATGATTAGTGTTCTCATTCAATTAATCTCATTCTTATCACTTTAAATCAATTGACGAATAATTAATTTAACAAGATCTACCAACGGAAGAGTAAAAAAATCTTTAAATTGTGTAGCTAATCATCATCACCATGGGTGTTAAAGTGGATAAAGTATTGCGAAAAAAGCTTGACCGGAATTTAATTTGTTTATCTTTGGTCGCTTTTACTGGATTATTTATATCACTTTACGCTTTATTCATCGAAATCAAACATTCTAACAATCATAATTACAAACCATTCTGTGATTTAGGCCAAAGTATCAGTTGTACCGCTGCATTTATCTCCAAGTAAGTCATTTTCTATTCCATGTTTTCTTTTTTTTCTATACTATCAAGAACTGTTATTCTATTTCATGATATATTTTCTATTCTTTTTTATTATTCTCATTCTTTTCTAATTAGTTATTTCTTGTTTTCGTTTTTTCTTGATGATTATTGTAAAATTATCATTTCAATCAGTACTAATAACTAATTCTTCTTTAATTGTTATTAAAAACTCAACAGGTATGGTAAAGGTCTTGGTTTACTTCCAGAAGATTCGGTTTTTAATCTACCTAATCCAGTTTATGGTATATTCACTTATACAACACTAGTTATGGTGGCAAATTTTAGTGGAACAGATCGTTTCCTGGTTAATCTTCTTCTAATCATTTCAATTATAATTAACCTCGTTTCCATATATTTGGCTTACATACTTTACTTTATTCTCAAAAATCTATGTGTTGTTTGTGTGGCCACTTACATAGTTAATTTTCTTCTTCTGCTCTTCAGTGTCCAGAGAAAAAGATTGATCCGTAAATTGGCCGCTCCAAAGAAAGAATAACAGTATTAACAGAATTGGACGATTTGCCGATTAATTGTGTAAATCATTGTGTTCCAATCATTACAAACCCATCCCGGAGATTAATCATTTCGAATGAATCTCATTTAAAGTCATCTCTATTCTCATGACCAAATGATATCCAACTCAACTCATCATCGTTTCCTCTCTCTATCTGATCTTATAATTTATTTGATTATTTATCGTTTATTTTTTTTCTTAAAAAATATGTAAATATGTCAATGGAATAGTCAAGTTAATTATCTGAAAATCGAGGCCTTCAAATGATCAACCAAGTGAAGAAAATCAACTAATTTCTTCTTCATGGTCTCTTACCTTTCGATAATCAATCAACTCGTTTTATTAATCATTTCTCTTCCTCAAGGGATTTTCCTCAGCGAAATTTAATCATCATTACAGAAATTTGATTGCCAATCGAATTATTATTATGATGAATGTTCTAAAACAATGATAATCATGAAAATCAAACTATTATAAAAACCAACGATTAAAATGGTTCATTCAATCAATTTTGCAGTCATTTTTTTTGCTATTCTGATCAGAAATCGAATTCAAATGAAAAATTTCCCTTTTGTAATCATTTGAATCAATTTTTCAACTTTAGAATCAAATTAATTAACTTTAACGTGGTGTTGAGAAAAATTTAGAAGTGTCTTCATTCAGATTGCTTATAATCAAAGATTTAATCAACTAACCCACCGAGTTAACTTGTATTTTTTGTTTCAAGGTAAATTTCTAATTAATTTTTATCGGCTCAATTTTCGTGATTCAGGTCACCATGCGAGTTTGGAATAAAACTTTTTCCTCTCTTTTAGATTTGATTAGTGTTTCCATTTTTCAATTTAATTTTTTTTTCTTTGAATGTTTAAACACCACCAATAGAAAATGTTAGAAGATATTTTTTTTCTTTAGGTTCGAAGATTTTGTTTCACAATTCCATTAATTGTTGTTGATTTTGTTACTCCATTTATCTTTCTTAAACGATCATTTCCAATTCTCTTGCGTATTCCAATGTTTTACAGGCTAATTGTTCACATGGAATCTCATTATTGAAAGAAGGTTTAATTTCTTTGGTTGTAGTATTAAACATAAGTAAATTTCCTTCTATTCTCCAATTTCGTTTGGCTGAAAATTTTTTCAATTCCGAGATGTTGTTGATGAAAAGAATACGATCCGTTTCTCCGATACTGATTGAATCATATGCTTTCTCCAAACAATTGGCGATCTCTTCCGAACAGTATTCAATAGAATGTCCACAAAAAAGCCATAACTTTCGGCAGGTACATTCTCTTTGGAGAGAAAAACTTTATTGTAACAACCTTCCATCAGCCATTGTTCCAAACTAACTGGATGTTTGATATAAATATTATTTTGAATTTCATGAGCTGGAAGAAGTTCCAATTCCTATAAACACAAAAAGAACAATAAGAAAAAGATAAAATTTAGAATATAAAACATAAAATTAGTAAGCAATTAACAAAATTCAATCACATTAAACTTACGGTGTGAAATTCAGCAACTCGATTTTGAGAAAGTAAACACAATAGATTCAATCCAAGAAGTTGATATTTGTAAGCAGATTCAGGAAGTTCATCACTGCAAGAAAAGCACAGAAATTAAACAAAAGAGTAATTAAAATTTGGTATGTTAGAGGTGAGAGAAAATCCCTCATATGGTAAAGAGACTCACCTGAAGTCGAAATAGTAACATTTCAATTGTGACAGATATCGTTCAAATGAAGGGATATCTCTACAAGCGACACTAATTTGTGCCCCCATTTCTAGACAATCACGGGAAATAATTAAATCTTGTTTATTAACTTCATTATTAGTTGGTAGAAATGATATTTGAGTCAACAGAATTTTAATCTGATCCAATAGTTGCAAACAATGGTTCAACTTTGGAGGTTTTCGGTTAAACTCAGCCACCAATTCCCGATAGACACTCAATGCTTGATTACTAGAGGCCATAATTAATTCCAAAATGATGAGACAATTAAAAATAAACAAAAGAAAAAGATCACAATTAGTTAATTAATAATTTCTAATGAAAAACAAATTAACAAAAAGCGAAAATCACTCTGGTGATAATTTTTCTCTTCTAACCAACAGATGGAGTTACTGTTCGAGGGAATGTTAACTAATTACGAATAGAACATTAATCATCGAGCTGAACAATTAATCTAATCAACAATTAGAAGATATTTTTAAATAATCAATAGAAGAAACAAATTCTAATTGTTGATTATTGCGTTAAATTCAACAGTAAGACGATTTAGATAAGAAAAGAGATGCACCTTGGTGATTGATTAATATGAGAATCTATTGATTGGTGATTGTCTAAATTGTCGGAATCACAATTAAAGTGGCGATTATTAAGTTGCTGTTGATTGTATCTAGTGTGCTGATTAATTAACGATGATAGATAGTTGTAAATCTTTCGAGGAGCTACAATATTAACCAAAACAATAGAAAAGGTAAAATCCATTGAAACATAATCGATAAAAGAAGGAAAAAAAATTAAGAAAACCGAAATTGTTAACAATCGTAATGAAAATCTAATCTTAAGCAAAAACAATCAACAATTATAATCTGAATTGTGCAGAATAATTAAACAGGATTCTATTTATAATTCTAATTAAAATTAAATAGATTTTAAAAAGAAGCAAATGAACAGTGAATATCTTCAATTACCATTGAAAAGTTTAATCTTTTTTGAACAATCAGTTGATTGTTTGTTTGTTTTTCGCTAAATTGAGGTGATTGAATTAATTGTTGATCTAATTGTTGTTGACATGACCTTTTAAGAGATATTTAAATAGCTTATCGACACTTAAAGGAAGATAATTAATATCTTAATAATATCTCGAGGAGAGTTAAGATGGAGAGGAAAGAAAAAAGAAAACGAAAATGAAAACTGACCATTGGTCAGTTTTTCCAGTATTTCAAACAAAAGAAGATTTTAAACTGACCCTTGGTCAAAGATGTTGACAATAAATCGCTTAAGGGTTAATCTTTAGTTTCCTTTTCCTGTGGAAATTGTTTTCTTGATTCATTCAAAGATTTACTTTCACCGAGATCACATTGATTTCGTTTAATTGTGACAATCAATTGAACTTTTTTCCCTTGTTTCCTTTTGATTTTGTTTGCCATTGATTTTAATTGTTGAGGTAACAATGATTTTCAAGAACATAATTAGTCTTAATTCATGGATGTGCACATCATCATCTTCACAATTATCATCAACCTCATCACCTTCATCATCAACATCATCAATTGATTCAAATGGTAACGATATAAGAGTTTGGGAGCCAAGAAAAGGTAACAATTAAATTAATTGTTTTACCCTTGTAATTACAAATTTTTCCTTGTTTTTAAATTTAAATTGTTTAGTTAAAGTTAAAGTTCATCACACTGATGGAGATGTTAAAACCTTAACTATCGATGGGACTAATTATCAAACTTTATTTGATCAAGTAAGTTTTAGATTAAGATTATTAATTGTTACAATTACAATAGTTAATTTCTGTTCATTTTTGTCACAATTAGCTGGCTAAATTTACTGGATTACCAATTAAAAATGTATTCAGTTGTAAGATAATTGGATCAAGAAATAGGTAAGTTAATTAACTTGAGAATTGAATTGAACAGCTAATGATTTTCCGATTTTCTTTTTCTAAATTGTGAACAATTAACAGCTATTATCCGGATAACAATCAGTTGACTGTGATTAACCGTCGATTCCGTCGTTACAATCATATTCCATTGGAAACAATTAACTCGATTTCTGATGAAGAGATTTTTGTTAACACATCAGATTCATTTATCTTAATGATTTACCACAAATTAACTGATCGGATTATGATTCAATTTGCTTTGATTGATGAAACAATTTACATGGATGCAATTGGAAACCCTGATTATTGTGATAGGAAAGTTAACCAGATACAATTTAATTACTCTAAACGTGATCGCATTGTACAATTAAAGGCTCTTATGGATGATAAAGACCTAAAATCAAAGTTAATCAAAAGATATAAGAAACAATCAATTGAGAAAAGGAGTCAATCATATCAACGATTTATTGATTACGCTCAAGATTTTACTACTTTCCAATTGGATTTGAATGACAAAAGCCAACAATTAGACAATAATTGATCACAATTAACCTTACCCTACATCAAACAAACTTTGTGACTTCGTGAAATTATTTTTATATTAACTTTTTTTTCTCGTTCATCAATTAAAATTCACTACGACAATTTAATCATTAGTAAATAATAAGAATACATTTGTCAGTTAATTATTAACAATTCGCATCCAAATTAAAAAATTTCAATTAATCAGCTGGTTAAAAATCGTATTGTCCAATTAAAAGCTCCTATTGAAGAAGCTTTGAAATGAGTGTTGATTAAGACAAAAGTGAAACAATCAACTGATTGAATCTCCAGTGAATTGAGTGAATGAAGATTTCACTTTTTTGCTCTCAACAATTAAATCTTCAATCATTTTAACGGCTTTTGCTCCAGAGTTTGAGTTTCTCATATTTTCTGATATTTTCTTTACTCTTTGTTGTAATTGTTGATCATTTAAAACTTTCTCGATACAATTAAGAAAATAATCTTCATCCAATTCCCAAGGATTAACTCGATATCCAATTTCTTTATCGACGACTCTCTGTGCATTGTCCAGTTGGTCATCGAACCAGGGGATTACTATCATTGGTTTTCCATGGCAAAGACTCTCCATGAATGTGTTGTTCCCTCCGTGAGTAATTACTAAATCGACCTTCTCAATGACAGCGATCTGATTGACATATTCTTGTCCCCACATATTATCGGAAAGATTTAGTTTATCACCGCGTTTACCCATTGAGACAATTACTCGATGACCACAACGAGCGAGAATAGAAATGAATTTGTTCATAATTGGTGTATCATTCGAGGCAATTGGCCCGAGGGAAAAGTAGATTAACTTTCCTGGTTTATCTTTGAGTTTTTCTGGTAACTCAAATATCGAATCTTCATCTGGAGATCGAACACAACAGTCGATTCGATGCCAACCAGGTTTAACTGGTGCGAATTCAGTATAATCAAGATCAGCAGGATAATGATAGAATCCGATTGTTTTTAGTGGTAAAGTCCATTGAGTCGGTAAAAAGTCTTCAGGTCTTCCTGATTCTCGTAACAGAACATTAAAATTTTCGGCCATCTTGGAAAAGGCATCTGTATAGTACTCTTCGTACTTTTTCCAGAGTTTAGGATCACTATTTACAGAAAATCCCGACATACCTGGTGGACCTTTTTCGTACAAAATCAATGGTGCACAAGAAAACGAGGAAATAACGGGAATGGCCTGTTTGTAGATACAATCAACTATATCCAAACTTCCATGAACAATTGCATCGAAAGAATTTTCTTCCAGGAGCGGAACTAAAGCTCGATTTAGTTTTCTGAAAATCTCAACTCCGAAAGCCACTGCTTCCTTTTCCTCTTCAGTATAATTTTTGAATCTCTCCATTGGATCTTGTCGACATTTATCCGCATTTGCGTCTATCCATTTTAGTAAATCCTCCTCACAAATAGTACCAATAGCTGCTTCATCGAAAGGGATGAAATCAAATCCATGTTGGATTGCAAGTTTTTCATACTTCAATCGATGAGCAAATGTCACTTTATGTCCATGTCGAACCAACAACTCACCAAAGCCACAAATCGCATTGATGTGACCATAACTAAAGTCCAGATTTCAATTAGAATCAAACAATTTACTCCAGAACAAGAATCAACTATGAATACTTACGCTTCAAGAGAAGTAATCAAAACATGATATGAAGGTTTAGACATTGTCACTACTATTGAAACAACTAAATTAATTGCCACAAATTCTTGTTTTATATTCCCATTTGATTCTCTACCTCGATTGATAAACGCCTTTGGAAATGACAAATGATATTTAAAGGTTATTTTGCTCATGAATTCTGATTACTGAGAAAAATTCTATTGTCATATTGATAATTAAAGAAACTGATTAGTCGTTTAGTACCAATAATTAGAATTAATAAGAATTGATAAAAAAGAATCAATCATATCAACGATTTATTATTTACGGTGAAGATGTGACGTGTGATGAAAAACTTTTTGTTCAATTCGAAACTAAAATGAAACGTAGTTGTTATTTTTTTCTTCTTTTCTTTTATTGTTTTTATTATCAATCAATTGTTGTGTTCTCATGTTATTTTTTTACTCTAATCTTCATCGGGAATCTACAATTCGTAACCAATCATTCGACACCGCTGGTCTTTACACTCGAGTCTTACAATACCAATAGACCATCAAGATTATCGCACCAAACGCTTGCTGGAAGGATTAACAATTTAAAATATATTCTGGGTTTTAGTTTAATTGTAGTGAAAATTCGAACGAACGAAAAATTTTCCGTTTGTTACAAAAAAATCAGTTCGATAGTTAAATTTGACTCTATGAGTTTATTTCCATATTGATTTTGTCCAGAAATAAAATTGATTATGACAATATAATTATAAGTAAATAATATAAATGTTGATCAGTTAATTTCTTGAGAAGTTTAAAAATTTGTACAAATCAATTTGTATAAATCAAATTAGTATAAGAGTTTTTTACGTTTCCGTTGGACCAAATAGTTGAGATTTTTGATCATCTATTATTGGTAATAGTTGGTTGATAATATAAATCATTTTGAGATTGTTGGATTGTTAATTAACCGACCAAATTAACCATTCGTTTGATATGTTCCCTTGCGATTACTATTTTTTGTATTTCCTCTGTTCCCTCGTAGATTTGTAAGATTTTAGCATCTCGATATAATTTCTCAACTGGATAGTCACAATTAAATCCTGCACCACCAAAGGTTTGAACTGCTTCGGTAGCTGAACGATTAGCGATCGAGGCAGCGTAACATTTAGCAATCGAAGCCATTAAAGTATTTTTAATACCATTATCGTGCATCCAAGCGGCCTTAAGATAAGCTAGTCGAGCAGTTTCAATGCCAATAATCATGTCAGCTAATTTGAATTGTATGGCCTGGTGATTGGCGATCGGCTATTGATAAAAAAATGAGAGAGAGAGAGATAAAATCAATAAATAGTGAATCGATTGCCGTTTTAAACGGTTTTTGTACCTGTCCGAAAGCTTTACGCTCTAGAGCATATTTAGTGGCCTCATCAAGACATCTTCGAGCTAAACCAACGGCCATCGAAGCGACAGCAGGTCGAGTAAAATCAAAAGCGGACATGGCAACGACGAAACCTTTACCCTCTTGACCGACCATATTTTCGGGAGGAACCACAACATTTTCGAAGGTAATTCCTCTGGTGTCCGAACACCTCTGACCCATATTTTCCTCTTTACGACCAACGGTAATTCCTGGAGTATCTCGATTGACCACAAAACCAGTGAAAGCTTCAGATTGTTTAACCTTTGGATCGGGATTGGTTCGGGTAAGAACAAAATAAAATGAACTTTGTCCACCATTGGTGATCCACATTTTCTGTCCATTGATAATCCAATTGCCATTTGAATCTTTCTCAGCTCTAGTCTTTAAACCGGAAACATCAGATCCAGTTCCAGGTTCAGTAACACAATAAGATCCCATGATTGGTTCCTTAGTTAACCAAGTTAAATATTTAGACTTTAATTGTTCAGAACCATGAAGTAGAATCGGTGATCCGGCAAGAGCATTGGTAACCAGAGCAGTTCCAAATCCAGTGCAACCATAAGCAATTTCCTCAGAGATTAAAAGATTATCCAATAGAGATAATCCCGGTCCACCATATTTACCAGGAATGAAAAGGTTCATCAGGCCAACTGAATGAGCCTTTTTAATCACCGGCCAAGGGTATTCACCACTCTTATCATACTGACCAGCGACCGGAATCACTTCCTCTTTGACAAATTTATTGGCCAATTCAATGTAACTTTTAGATTCCTCTGAGGGTTCAAAACAATAACCAGAAGAAGACGCTGATCCATGAGATAATCTTTTACAATTAACTACACCAGGTAATCCAATTGACCAACCATTTGACCGGACCAGCGAAAGGCCTTTGGATAAATGATAAAGAGATGACATGATTTACATAAACAAAAGATTCCAAATAGAAACAAATGAAAACACTTAACCCTTTTCACTGTTTTAAAACAATTAAATTTAGAAAACTGTTGATGGGGGAAATTTGACCGTCACAATTAGGGAAACAATTGATTGTTTTTAAAATAGAAAAGAAAATTACATTAAATTGTTGTGGTGAGAAAGAATATAAACAAAACCAGTATTCATCTTCTTCTTGTCGATCATCTGTTCACTTCGGTAATAAAGTTATTCTATTTGTAGAGAAAAAGAAAGAATTTTTTTTCTCTTACTCGTCATTTTTTTTCTTTGGTAATCAAAGTTTTCTAATTATCAAGGAACGATGATTAATTAGACTTAATTGCACTTTCGAATTGATTTGAGTTCTTTCATCAGGTTTATTAATCGAGTTGATTGTTTGTTTCCATTGGAACTTTTTTCTTTTCATTTGATCCTATTTACAAGTTAATCATGTCAAGGTTTAGGTTTAGGTAATTGTTTTGATCTTTTCAACGCAATCAATTAATTGTTGGCATACATATATGGTAGATATTTATTACCAGTGTAAAATAATATTATGTATAAATGTTAGTATAAAGATTAATATTTTGAGCATAAATTGTTGATAATCTTCATGTTTATGGAAAAGTTTGATTGATAATAATAATATTTTGGTCCATTGTCGCAATGATTTGTTGTTGTTTTTTGGCGATTTTGAAATTATTAGTATATAGATTTGTAATTAGGTTGATCATTGTTTTCCTTGTTTCATCATATCGGCGATATGTTCACGAGCGATTACCATCCTTTGAATTTCACCAGTTCCCTCGTAGATTTGTAAAATTTTAGCGTCTCTCATGAGCTTTTCAACCGGATACTCAGAATTGAAACCAGCACCACCGAAAACTTGAACAGCTTCGGTTGCAGATCGATTGGCAATATCACCTGAATGACACTTAGCAATTGAGGCCATTAATGTATTTTTCTGACCATTATCATGAAGCCAGGCAGCTTTAAGGTAGGCCATTTTAGCGGTTTCAATACCGATCATCATATCGGCCAATTTAAATTGAATCGCTTGGTAATTGGCAATGGGCTGGAAAGTAAAGAAAAAGGTTAAACAATTGATAAATAATTTGGAAGATTATCAAGAAAATGAAAAAGTAATTAAAGAAAATGAATGACTAATTGTTAAGGAAAATAATTAGATTAATATTGAAGAACTGGTAACTATTTATCAAAAAAGATCTTCATCTTGATTAGAAAACTTGAAATGTAACCAAACAGGTACAAAGTGTAAAGATAATTTTAGCTCATAAACACTAACACAATATGAGAAAATTCATCGTACACTATTACTGATCTGTCTAAAGTCCAAATTTGTCGTAAAAAGAAATGTTGATATGATTGAATAATGATGATAGAAATTGTCAACAATTGTGATAAAAGTTGATTTTAAGAACATGAAACCTAATTACTGGATTTGGGTGACGATTATAATTTGATAGCATTTATGATTTAAATTATTGCTGGTTAAATTACCTGTCCAAAAGCTTTCCGTTCTAGAGCATATTTAGTGGCCTCATCGAGACATCTTCGAGCAAGACCAACACCCATGGAGGCAACAGCGGGTCGAGTAAAGTCAAAAGCGGACATGGCAACAAGGAAACCTTTTCCTTCCGGTCCAACCATATTTTGCTTTGGAACTTTAACATTTTCGAAAATAATTCCTCGAGTATCTGAACATCTTTGTCCCATGTTCCATTCTTTTCGTCCAACGGTGATACCTGGAGTATCTCTGTCCACCACAAATCCGGTAAATGCTTCGGAAGTTTTAACTTTAGGATCGGGGTTTGTTCGGGTAAGGACAAAATACCATTTGGCGACACCACCATTGGTAATCCACATTTTCTGTCCATTGATAATCCAGTCACCATCTTCATTTTTAACAGCCTTTGTCTTTAATCCAGAAACATCACTTCCTGTTCCTGGTTCGGTTACACAATATGCACCCATTACTGGTTCAGAGGCTATCCAGCTAAGGTACTTTTGCTTCAACTCTTCTGAACCCCATATGAGAATAGGTGAACCAGCAAGAGCATTTGAACCCAAAACTGTTGAGATACCGGTACAACCATAGGAAATTTCCTCACCAATTAAAAGAGAATCAGTTAAACTAAGTCCTGGTCCACCATATTTTGTTGGAACAAAGAAATTCATCAATCCAAGTGAATGAGCTTTCTTGATAATGTCCCATGGATATTCACCATTCTTATCGTAATAAGCAGCTTTTGGAATTATTTCTTCCCTGGTAAATTTTGATGACAATTCAATGAAACTTTTACTCTCCTCTGAAGGCTCAAAACTGAAACCTGTTGATTCATTTCTAGTTGATATAATTTGATCATTTCCACCAATAGATGAGACCAATAACGGTCTGGAGATCAAACTTCTACCAACAAGGATCGAATGGAAGAAGATAAATACATAATAATGAAAAACAAAGATAAAATTAGAGCAAATTAAAAGTCAAATTAACATCAACAAGTTACAATTAGAATAGAAAAAAAAAATTAAAATTTCCTCAAATAAAACAACAAATTCCACTGCCCTCTAGCGGAAAAGAATATAAACTCTCAGTCATATGTTTTCTTTGGAATTTTTTTTCTCAGTTGTTACCAAATTAATTCTGTTCTTGTTAATTAATTTTCTCAACATGGAATCAAAAATTATCAGTAAGTTAATTTGATTTATTATTCTAATTGTTTTGGTCTATTCGATGGTATATTAATTTGTTTGACTTTTTTGTTTCTTTTCTCTTTATTTTTGTCTCTCTTTTTTTCTGTCTCTTGCTCTTTTAGGTGAAAGTGTTGCTGTTGTTGAAAGTGAACCTTATGTTGGTTTATCGGCTCGAGAAGAAGCTGATCTGGAACGACTTTTATCCGATAAAGGATTGACAATCGAAAATGCTAAAGCTTTAACTGAACAATTATCTAAAGAAGTATCTGCATTAGATTATGTTAACATTCAAGATATTATGGCTTCGGAACAGAGAGTTGAAGCAGTTATATTGGATCTTGAATCTGCCATTGATGAGACAAAACATTTAGAGGAAAAGATTGACCATTATCAAAGTTATTTGAAAAATGTTCGTGATATCGTTTTACAAGTGCAAGAGAAAGAGACACTTTTTCAAATTGAGAATGAAAATCGACGTAAATTACTTGCTGAACTTGAATCATTAATATCAGCCTTACAATTTCCATTGGACCAAGAAAAATATCTACAAGAAGGTGACATCTCTACCGAAAAGGGTATTAGAGCCGCTCTTTCAGCTGCCAACAGTTTATCCGAATGTCTAAATGCCAATATACATCCAGCTCTAAATTATTTGGCCGCTGTTTCCGAGCAAAAGCATAAACTTGAAGGTATTCAGGGTAAATTTGCTAAAAGACTTTCATCTCATATCAACAATGTTTACAATTACGCCCTTAAAGAATATGGTGATAATTTATTGAATGGAATCAGTCCTCGAGATTTATCATTACCCTCTCATCAAGTAATCCACAGTATCTTATCTCCATTTAGTCCACTATCTAAATGGCTTAAATTAAATTGCCGACAAATTTACAGTGATCTGGTTAACTCTTATATTGGTGTTATTCGGTCAACTTATGAGAAGGAGATTTTCTGTTATTTTGATGCAGTTCGGGAAAAGTTAACCGGTGGTCGAAGTACATTATCAAGCAATGATTCCAATGAAGGTAAAAGGAAACACTTTAATGTTGTCGGTTTTGATAATACTCGATTAAGTTCCAGTTATGCATCAGCCAATTTACAGGATGTAGCCGATTCGATTTCTCGAAGTTCAGAGTTAAGTTTCACCGAATGGGAAGAGTTTGATTCCTGTTTTGAGAAAATGTTAAACGCCATCGATCCCTTTTGCTTAGCCGAGCAAACATTTTGTATCAACTTTTTTGACATCGATTCCAATGTACCATTTACCGGTCATCATAGACGCAATTCCTCTTGGTCATCCCAAAGTCAATCTATTTCGGTTAGTCCATCACCTTCAAATCCTAGTCAAAGTAGCGCTGAAAATATTGAACCAAAAAAATCTGAAACATTGAGACAATTGATGGCGGAAATATTTTCAATCTTAGAACCGGAATTTGTAAAATTTGTCTCTTTTTACGATCGACTTGATGGCCTTTACTCGATGTACCTTTTAGCCCGTTTAACACAACACGTTCTCTCCACCCAAGATACTGGTAGTTTTCTCGCAAAAACCTATGGAACCATTTTGATTCAAGTTAAACGAAATTTCGATAAATTTATGCAAGCCCAAAAATCGGCCATTGAAGACGCTAAAATACCGAAAAAAGCCAAATGCGGGGTATTGACATTTCTCAAAGGATTTGAACAGTTTGCCAAACAAGCGGAATCAGTATTCAAAGGAGTATCCGCTCGACGAACTGACATTGACCGTTGGTATGTCACCTTAATTCAAACAATGTTCGAAGCCATTGATAAACTTTCCATGGAACATCATAAAACACCAAGTGAGATAATTCGACTTGAAAATTATCATTATCTTCATGATGTTCTCCGTACCCTTAAGATACAATGTCTTGAAGGTGAACAAAAAGAGGCCAAACAAAGGTACAACGAAGCGCTTAAAGATTATGTTTCCCGTTATTTTGGTCGACCTCTGGAAAAGTTGAACTCTTTCTTTGAAGGTGTTCAAATTAAAGTTAATCAAGGAGTTAAAGCGGAAGAGGTTGGCTATCAATTAGCTTATAGTAAACAAGAATTACGAAAAGTGATTAAAGATTGTAGTTTAAAGGAGGTTCGTAAAGGATTAGAGGAAATGTACAAGAAAGTTGAGAAACATGTATGTGAACCAGATTCAACATTAATCCAGGTAAATTAATTTCTAGATACAATTCATCTTTCTTTTTCACCTTTAATATCATCTAATTGTTGTTTATCATTTTCTAGGTAATTTGGAGATCAATGCAAGAGGAATTTATTTCACAATATAAATCATTACAAGAAATGATTGAGAAATGTTATCCCGATGCTAATATAACATTATCTTTCACAATTGATGATATTCTTCAAGTATTTTCAGATATCGCTCAATCTCATTAACATGACAATTTTTCAATTGTTCCAAACAACAAACAAACAACAAACAAACAACAACAATCAATCAATCCATCAATCAATTTAAAGAGTAACAAAACTTATCATTACTCTTTAAATCAATATTCTTATCAAATTCCCTATCAATCTCTTTCTCTGTCTCTTGCTGTTATACTATTTAAATTAACCTTCAGAATTTATTATTATCTAGATTATTGCGACGAAAAAAAAGAAGAGAGAAAGATAATTGACAACAATTAACTTTAAATTACAATAAAGTTAAAAATGATTGTACGAAAATAAGAAACACTAGATGGCAGAAAATTATAATTGGCAAAAAGTGTATACGTGTTACTATGAGCAACAAGTTGACAATTGAAATGAAACAACATTTCAAATGTTTTCATTTAGATCAATCAGAAAATTGTTGATTCCATTGATATCTGTTTTTGTGATTGGATTTATATATCAATACAATTTCCCCATTTACCTAATTTCATCTAATTTTCTTAACTATTATCAACAAAATGGTAAACAATCATCGTCATATCAGTTATCTCAAGATGCTAAAGGTGAACTGTTTCCATCGGCTTCCAGTGATTTAACAATGAACCGGATTAACAGATCAATTCCGTTAATATTTATCGGTGGAATGCCTCGTTCGGGTACAACTTTACTTCGTGTTATTTTAGACGCTCATCCAGATATACGATGCGGTGAAGAGACTCGAGTTATACCTCGTTTACTTGGTATTCGTGGTCAATGGATGAAATCACCTTATGAATCTCGTCGACTTATCGAAGCTGGAATAACATCTGAAGTCTTAGATTCTGCAATCTCAGCATTTATCTTGGAAATTGTTGGTAAACATGGTCCACCCGCTAAACGATTATGTAATAAAGATCCGTTTACCCTTCGATCAGCTGTTTATCTTAAAAAATTATTCCCCAATTCAAAGTTTATCTTTATGATTCGTGATGGTCGAGCTGTTGTCCATTCAATTATTACCCGTAAAGTGACCATATCCGGATTCGATTTAAATGATTTCCGTCAATGTATGAAAAAGTGGAACGATGCAATGCAATCAATGGACTCTCAATGTAACTCTTTGGGCCCAGTTAATTGTTTACCTGTTCACTATGAGAAAATGGTTTTGGAACCTGAATTATGGTTGAAAAAGATTCTCAGTTTTCTTGATGTTCCTTGGAATGAATCGGTTCTTAATCATGAGAAGTTAATTAATCAACCTGGTGGTATATCGCTTTCCAAGTTGGAAAGATCAACTGACCAAGTAATTAAACCGATTAATGTTGAAGCTCTAAGTAAATGGGTTGGACATTTACCTGAAGATGTTGTTCGAGATATGAGTTCGATAGCACCGATGTTATCGGTTCTTGGTTATGATCCGAAAGGTAATCCACCGAATTATGGTAAACCTGATGAATTTGTCGTGGAAAAAATGAAACATCTTAAAGAAAATCGTAAACAATGGGAGGAGAAAGAAAATGAATTGAAAAAAGTTCGAAAATCAATTCAAAATGATCTGATTAAACAAAAAGAATCAATGAAAATTGTATCCAAGGAAAATTTGGACAATGAAGTTGATCAAACTATCGGTTATCAATTAACTAAAGAGCAAACATAACAATTAACAGATGATCTACTTAACCAATCAATGGATCCATAATTATAAGGTTAATTATTGATTATAAAATGTTAAAATCAATATTAATCAATCCCTAGTCAAAGTATATTGAACCATCAAGATTGGAAAAAAAAATTTAATCTTGTTTTAACAATTAATTGCTATTCTTCATACTATTCTAGGTAAATTTTATAATGGAAAATTTATTTTATTAACCATTTCAAACATAAACTGTAAACTTATCCACTTTTAACTATTAACAATCTAATCTAATCCGTTCTAGGATTTACATGTAATTGATTAATTTACTAATTAAATTGATTTAAGTGCTAACCCCCAAGATCAATTGATCGGTGATCTTTTATTTTCATTAATAGAATTGAAACTTTAGAACAAAAAAAGCTAAAATTTGATCACAATTAGAAATTCTCATTTCAATCAACTGGATAATCTTGAAAGTAGAAAACTTTTTCTCGAAAAAGTTATTACCTTTTATCCAAATTAGTTTTGGCTACTTTTAATAACGAAAAAGATATTTCGATTGGGGTTCTAGACTTAGAACTTTTCTTACCCATGTCGAACTTCATCTTGGAATCAGATGTAAGTAGAAACAATTAAAAATTCTCACTAAAAGACAAAAAAGTTCGATTCCTTAAAAGAAAATGCTACATGATATTCATCCTTCCCTGTATCTCTTCTTCAGTTCTTATTTTCCTCAAGTTCTTTATCAATTCTGCTCTGTCCAGCATTTTAATATCTATTTCTATATCGAGATGAGAACGTTAATTGTAACTTAACTTGTCCCACAATGTCTCTCTTTATGTTTCGATTTGATGATCTCCACCTTGAGCATTATTATCATTTCCATAGTTATGATTTATGATGTCACTTTTAGTCAAGGTTAGTTGTGAACAATTTAATTAGGATTTTCTGGTTAAATTGTAGATAAAAAAGTGATTGAAATAAATGAGAAAAAAAAATCTAATCGTAAGAGAATTACAATTTAGTATCAATACAATACAATTGAGTAATTTTAAAGGGTTAATCATGTTAATCAAATGATTTACCAGTTTGTAAAAAGCTCAAAGTGACAATTAAATTGCAAAATATCAGCAGCAAAATAATCAACAGTTAATTGTAAACAAAATGTTCAAATTGGGTTACAATAAAGGGATATGAGAGAGAGAGAGAGAGAGAGAAGTTAATTGTTGAAAGTTAATAATTATTTACATGATGAGTGATTCAGTGGGACGGAATGGTCAAGAAATGGACGGACACACTCATGAGAATTGAAAGAGAGGAAAATTATATTTTCTTTTCATGGAAAATTAACTTTTTTTGAACAATTAAGGATCGATTTCGACACAAAGTTCTGGCATAATGTACTGAGTGAACGGCTTGATGATCTTATCGACCTCTTGTTTGGTCAATTTGAACTCTGTCTCTGCCATATCGTAACAAGAGACCGCTGATCTTGGGACCCGTCGATAGTTGACCTTACAAGAGCCACCCAACCAATCGGGTAGATTATTTTCATCGATCAATTCGAGAAGCTCCTTTTTCCCACCGAATTTGATCTTGGCCACTGAATCCGAGGGTAAAAATGAGATGACCATGTTTGCGAAAGCTCCTAAAAGCCAAGGTAATCCATAGAGTAAACATTGACCAACACCTCGAGGATATCGAGTTCGAAGAGTTGAAAACAGGAACATGATCATATCCAAATCGGTGTTGAAAAAATTGGCATCCGAAGCGTCCAAGATGATCAACCAAGATTCTCGTTCCTCCCTCACCGAATCGATTGTTTCAATCATATTGACAAGATAATGTTTGATCTTATCCTCAAGTTGATCGATTTTCCTATGAATTTTACCTCGAATATAAAGAGTTGGCCTGCCCTGTTTATCGACCTCATAAGGTATCAAAGCGGAAACTTGATAAATCTCTTTGGGAATTGATAAAGGATCGAAATGATTAACACCAAATGATTTTCTCCATTCCATTGTTGACCTCAACTTCTCAAAAGTATCGTCAATGGATTCATTTGGATCGGCCATGAATCGAGTAACCCAGAAATCTTTGTCCATCACTTTACGAAAATCAATTTCATCGTAAAGTTCAGGGTGAGCTGAATATTCAGTTGAAAAACGATCTCTAAGTGTATCAATTTTTTCACGATACTTTAATCCAGTTTCTAAATCAGATTTAACCTTTGATTTAGTTGAACCATTTTTGGTTATTTTATCACTTTTTTCTTTAATCATTGAAGAATCACAATGTTTACCACTAACAGAACATGAAACATTATCACAATTACCTTTGGTATTATTGTTGTTTGTTGGTGATGATGATTTATCCATGATTGGCACCGAAATCATTTAAATTGTTCAGGTGAATAACAGACAATTACAAATACACAATAAAATTAATTGCAATTACTTGTAAATCAACAACAAAAAAGTAGAAGCTTATTTTATATATAAATGATTCGGAGAGAGAGAGAGTTTTAAAAAAAACTTCTATTCAAATGATAACCACGTTGTAACGTTGTTAACGATTGCTCAGGCTTCGTTGGGACGATACTTGAAAGATGATGATGATGATATTAAGAGGATCGTTGAGTGAGAGAGTGAGAGAGTGAGAGAGAGAGAGAAGGTGATTTTTTGTTCCTTTTTTCCACTTTGTTTTATCGAGTGAAAAATAACAATTTCGTTAACTAGTCAGGCAAGATTTCAAAGTCATCTCAAATTCAATTGGAGAGAGATACAGGAAAGATAATCATAATGATGATGATGATGAGGATTACGATGATGATAATGATGATAATTATGATGATGAGGATGAAAAATTTGTGATAGAATGGTTATTAAGGCTTTTCGGTTGATATTTAACGCATAGAACTTGAGAGATTTAAGATTCCTGGACAACTTGGAAAACGGGTTAAGTAACAATTTGATTTCTCTTTTTTTAACACTAATCAATTGTTAATCATTATCACAATTAAATGATTGTAATTATGATGATGATAATTGGATGAGAGAAAAAGTTGATTAACTTTTGATTGACTTTCCTGATTTTGATTCACTAGATTGTATGAGTTTTACAGATAAAATGATTTTCTTTGACGATTTTGTCTTCAATTTGATTAACAATTTATTGATTGTTTGTTATTATTACAATTGTTTATAATCAACTGATTGTAGTGATAATAATGATTGTTGATTTGTTAATGATTCTCGTGGTTATAATGATTGTAACTCCGGTTAATTTGAAATGAGGAAAATTGTTAATTGTTGTGATTAACTTTTTGCTTTGTTCAATCATTTTTATTTTTATACCAAATTTGTTGATTAATTTGATTTTTAATGAAAACAATTAACTTTTATTGCTGTCATGATGATATTAATTGTATTTTCTGAGTGTATAAGTTAATATTAATACATTATAATAACTTAATGATTGCAAGCAATTTAATTGCATTTACATACTGTTGAAAGTGCCTGATGATTGGTGATAGTCACAATCAAGTAAATTGTTGTTAACTCTTAATTGTTAGACATCATTAACTTGTTGTTTCATTTGAATAATTAACTGTACATTATGAGAATGAACTTTAATTTTCCTCTCCACTCTTTAAGTCAATCGGTTAACCGGCTGGTAGGTTAAGTTGATCGCGTTGAATATTTAGTTAATTGTTGAGAATCAAGTTGATTAATCAACTGTAATTTATATAAGATATTAAACGAAAAGTTCATTCATCAATTATTAGGTTCATGGAGTGATAGATTGTGAAATTTATTGAATTAATTTTAATCAATCACAATAATTAATTTTTAAAATCTCAAGTTGATTTATTGTTAACTCTTGATTGTTACTAAATTTGTATTGCAATCTGATTACCTTGTTTTTAATTGTCTCAATATTTTAATGATGATTGATGGTTTCATTTAAAAAGTAACATAATCAGTTAATTGCCGGTGGAAATCAAATCTTTATATTAACAATTTATTAACCATTTTCAAGGTTGATTGTTAAAGTTTAATTTTTTTTTCTCCCCGAGTGTTGGTAAATTATCACAATTAGTTAATTTCTAAATTCAATCAATAGATAATAATTTGTTCACTTGTTAACTAAATACTCTCAAGTTAATTGTTGGTCTGATTGCGAAAAAAAAATCAAAGCGAAAAGTGTAAATTAAATTGTAAAAGTTAATTGTTTTCTCACAATTGAATCAATTTCTTAAAGTTAATCATCAAAAATCAATTACATTGAAACAGTTTAAATTATGATTGTGAAAGTTTTACTTTCCTTAACAATGTTGATTGTCCAGTGACCTGATGGTAGTTTAAGTTGATTAGTTAATTTAGATATTTCAATTTCCGAGGTTAATCAAATTCATTCAACATAAAAGTTAAAATGATAAACAATTTGTATTGAAAGAGATGAACTAAATTAACTAATTGATATCATCCTTGTACGATGAGAGAAAAGTGAATGAGAAAAAAAAACTTTAATCACAATTAGTTAATTTTCACCGAAAATTTTTTCAAATTTTGCTTCTTGTTTGTTGTCAATTGAAAGTTCAATGAATTTCATGGTCAAGAACATGATATTAATATGATTAGGTCACTTCTCTTTGGTCTCAAGTTTTGTTTTTCATGTTAATCAACAATTAACGAAACAGTTTTTCCTCATGATTATAATATTACGATCATGTAAACTCCACAATTAGATAAAAAGTAATAACAATTAAAGGAAGTTTATCAAATCGCTATTCTTTCCTTGTATTGTTATAATCAAACGAAACCAGTTATTCATTTATAATTACAATCAAAAAGATACAAAATTATGTTTAATTGTTCAGATTAGAATATTTAAATTCCATCTAGCAGATAATTATCAAAGCTAATGAATATTCAATACTCAAAAATAGTTGACCAGTGGTCAATGGATGCCCCAAGGTTTGTCCATCAGCAATTTCTCATTGGGATGATGAAATTGTGGCTAATTAAGTAGATGAACTTGATTTCACTTTCCAATCCAAAGAATGATGATTTCATGATTATCATGGATAATTCATTTTCTTTTTCAATTGTAATCCAAATACAATTTAATCCATGTAATCATCTAATCGACAAATTGTTCATTTCGCAATAAAAGAAATGTAATTCAGTTCTGTTTCCACCCATTTTCTCATTTCATGACGATTGCCTTTTCCTGTCTCTCTGTTCCTAAGGTTCAGTGTTCATGTTGCTTCTCAATCTGCTTCAACTCAAACGAGATTGATGATGATCTGGAAGAGAGAAAAGAAAGAGAAGAAAATTAGTATTATTATTTAGAAATAGAGAGAGAAAAAGAAAGAGAAAACCAGAAGAAACAACAAGAAAGAAAGAGAGAGAGAAAAAATAAAAGATATCAAATAGAAAACCAGAAAATTGTAAACATCTAGTTAACTATCAACAGAATCTTTTATTTTAATTACTCTAATTCAACACGAATGCTTAATTGTTATCAGTAGGTTATCCCCTTTTCTTGTATCTCTAACTGATTAGCGACACTGATTATCTTGTGAACACAAAATTTCAATAATAATCAACATCTCTAGTAGTAAATTAAAACCACAGCAACAGTAACAATAAAACCATAACAATCAATATATTAACTTACTGATTTGTTGTTGAACCATTTTCACAATTTGAATTAGTGTTGATTAACTTGTGTTAATATTGTGTAAAGAAAAATGGTTCGTTATAATAGTTTAATTGTTGCCACATCTAAACGATTAAGGGTAATTAATGATGGAAACTTGAATCTATTCGGACGTCGGAATAATTCAACTGCGGCTAAAATTTCATCGGATTATCATCTATCGGAACCAAAAGAGCCGCTTATCCGTACATCAACAATTCCTGGACCTAAATCACTTGAACTGATTAAGCAATTGGATTCCATTCAATTATCTAAATCGGTTCAATTGTTTGTTGATTATGAATCGTCCATTGGTAATTATCTTTGCGATGCTGATGGTAACCTTTTCCTTGATATTTATTCACAAATTTCATCAATTCCATTGGGTTACAATCACCCGGCGTTGATTGAAGCGCTAAGAGATCCAGCAAATACATCGGCTTTCATAAATCGACCTGCTCTCGGTATTTTACCACCGAAAGATTTGGTTAATCGTTTGAAAGGTTCGTTACTTTCCATTGCACCTCCAGGATTAAACGAAGTACAAACAATGGCTTGTGGCTCTTGTTCCGTTGAAAATGCTCTTAAAGCGGCTTTCATTTGGTATCAGACGCGAATTCGTGATGGCCGTGAATTAACACCCGAAGAGATGGAATCAACTTTAGTTAATCAATATCCTGGATCACCATATCTAACAATTTTGTCTTTCAAACATGGTTTCCATGGGCGAACCTTGGGAGCTTTAAGTTGTACTCATTCAAAATATATTCACAAATTGGATGTTCCTGCATTTGATTGGCCTATTGCTCCTTATCCTATTTATAAATATCCCCTCGAGGCTAATGAACGGGAAAACAAGGCCACTGATGATCAGTGTCTTGAAGAGATTCAAGATTTAATTGAAAGATTTAACAAGAAAGGTCGACCCGTTGCTGGGTTAATCGTTGAACCCATTCAAGGTGAAGGTGGTGATAATCGAGGATCAAATTATTTCTTTCAACAATTAAGGAAAATTGCTAAATCTCATCAAGTTGTCTTCATCTGTGATGAGGTAAATTTCCTATGGAGGAATAGGAATCTCATATAATAGATTAGAAAAGTATCATCATGATTAATTGTTTGTCTATCTTTTAAACATCAGGTTCAAACTGGTTGTGGTCCAACAGGAAAATTCTGGGCCCATGAACATTGGGGTCTAGATAATCCACCAGATATCGTCACTTTTAGTAAGAAAATGTTGACCGGTGGCTATTTTTACAAAGGTCATTTACGACCTGATCAGAGTTTCCGTATATTTAATACTTGGCTTGGCGATCCATCAAAATTGGCTCTCCTTGAGAAAGTTATTCAAGTTGTTAAACGAGACAATTTACTTGAATCCATAATTGAAACTGGTAATCAAATGTTAACCGGATTAAAAGAGGCTGAATCTCGTTTTCCAAATTTAGTCTCAAAGGCCAGGGGAATTGGTACATTTTGTGCAATAGATTTTAACACAGCCGAATTAAGAAATGAGGTAATTAATCGTCTCCATCAAAAGGGAATCCATTGCGGTGGATCAGGAGCAGCTTCATTGAGAATCCGAACAACATTGACCTTTAACAATCAACATAACAATATCTTCATCGATCGATTCCATAAGGTATTAGCCGAATTGAACAATTAAAGATCATAAATCATGATCAACACTGAGAAGGAGAGAAAGAGAAAAAAAAGAAAAGAAAAGAAAATCAAGATAATTAATCAGATTACATTCCAATAATCAAATGGAACAAAATAATTTACCAATTTCTCTATATTCCAATTTCCAACGTTTCGTGTGTTGTTTGTTTGCCACCATTAAGATTTGATCTTGTTCATTATCTGCTCACAATTAATGTCTTCCAATATTAGATGATGAACAATTATCACCTAGAACCAATAATAGTGATCAATCGGACACAATTAACTGTTAAAATCTATTTTAAAAATAAGAGAAAAAAAAACAAAAACAATACAAAAGGAAAACCAGAAAAATATCAATCGTTATGACAACAGAAAAATTTAATTTCTATCTGTTGGATTTTAGGGATTTCTAGCAAAATGATTAACAATTTAACTCATAATTTACCTTTAATTGTTACCAAGTAACCATATATTCTGTTGCTCATCCAAGGCAATTAAATAAAACAATTAACTAACCACAATTAACAGAAACATTCAAGTGAGATTTTGTTGTTTATGTTTGTAAACAAAAATGTGTTGACTTTTAATTCAACTCATTTTTTGGCGCGAACTTGATTTTCAATAAAAGGACTTATCTGTGGGGCCATGAATATGAACTTGAAATATGTTTATTTTTTTCTGATCTGATCACTGTAATGGTTTTCAAGAGAATCGAGTTCGAAGTTGAAACTTGAGGTCACTTTTTTTCAGCGACGATAAGTTTTCAGATGAAGAAATTTTTGATTTCATTAACAACTTTTCATGCTATAGTTATGATGGTTTCGCAGGCCAATCAAAAGTATCTATCTAATCAACGCAACCAACATTTTCCCTTTACTAATCTCTACTCTATTCACAATTCTCAAAGGTCTTATTTTGTTCACAATAATTATATTATTCGCAAGTGTCAAACTGACCAATGGAGCCAATCAAGAGATGGACTTAAGATTGATCATCACTTCGTCAGGGATACGAGAGGCTCGTAAGGATATCGTTCAAATTACAATAATTGTTGAATATCATTTTCATCCATTGAGATGGAATGAAAGATGAGGAAATGAAGATGATGATCATTAAGCTTTGAAAATAGATGGAAATTAATTTTTTATTAGAATTTAATTGATTTTCGAAATTCCCTCTTCACTTATGCAAGAATCGTCGTTGCCATGGTTACTGAGACGAATCAATTTTACTCAATAAAAAAATCTCTCAATGAAAAAGTTTACAATTTAGTTTAAATTATTGTGTCAAGTTAATTAGTCGACTTATTTTGAGATCATTTTTCTATTTAGTTAATTAAATAATTTTCGTAATTAAAATGAATTCATTCTTTGGATCATTAACCAAATATGGTTTAATCTTTTTCAACTTTATCTGTTTGGTAAGTTGTTTGATTTTCATTTCTTCTCACTGATGAATAGAATTTTAATTTTCTATTCTATTTTGTTTTTTGAAAATATTCTTTTCTTTTTAAACTTAGATTTTTGGCCTTTTGTGTATCATTTTCGGTGCTTTGGCAAGAAGTTCATCAAATTATGAAAGTGTTATCAATATTGGTCAAGGACCAGCCAACATGAGTATTGGAATTGGGGTGGCGGTTTTTGTCATTTGTTTCTTGGGCTGTTGTGGTGCCATAAAGGAAAACCGTTGTATGCTTATAACTGTAAGTACAATTCATTTTTTGTTCTATATTACTTTTGATTTCCTATCACCATTTTGATTGTTAGCTTATTGTAGATTAATAATCTGATCATCTAAATGTAACGTCGCATTATAGTTATTGTGGAAGTTTGGGTTTTTTTTTATTCTATTCTAACATTTCACTTTTTGAGGGAAATTGCACCTTTTGTTTCTTCTCTTTGTTAATTTCTTCTTCTATTCTTTCTGATTCATTTTTTTTCTCTCCTCCATTTTATCACTTATTTGATTTCTATTTTTTTCTGTGAAAAACAATTAATCTGTGATAACAAATGTTTCCATAGATTATACGATTTTCCCATGAAAATACCAGCTTGTTTATTCATCAATATGTTTTCATGATTGTAGAAATTTATTGGAAAATAAAAGAAAAGAAAATAACATTCAATCAACAGGATAGAATTTTTTTTCTTCCCTTCTCTCCAGCATCAACTGTCCGTTTGTAAGGATTATTAACTTTATTTATTTTGGAAACAAGTTGATCTTGGTCCAGTCTTGGAACTAGTTTTCTATTCTGTTCTTGCCTAAATCAAGGTCCATCATCAACATTATCATGAATTAACTTGTTATCATGATGTGTGGACTCTTGGGTCAAATAACATAGTATAACTTATACTAATAGTTAACTGGTTATTCAATCAAATATAATTTCAGCTTGATCATGTTGACCATATTGTAATCATATAAATTTTTACCTTCATCAATTTACAATCACGATTTAATGATCAAATGTTACCTTGTTTGTTTTGATAAAATTTTCATCATCAGATAATTCATATTGTACTTTAAACACATCCAAACAATTAACGTATCTGACTAATGAGTGAGGTGTATTATTATTGTCATCAGATTATTACCACCGAATCACAATTAATTGGAAAAATGGTTAACAACAGATAATGATTTCGATTGTAGTTATTCATTACTAATTATTTAGTAATAGCTATTAGTCTAGAAATAATTTTCTTATGGGATAGTAATAACATGGGATAGAAAACACAGTTAATCCATTTCTCATGTTATTATTAAGATCAAACTGATTATGATGCAAGATTAAGACTAATATCTATTGTATGTTATAATGTGCATTTCAATAAACACATCAAAATATTTACTAGATACTTATCAACATCATTACATTGAACCTTGGAAACTGGCAATTAATTTTAATTTGTTTGTTACCTTAATGATTATATTTTCTGTTCATATTTCATATTAACCATGTAATAGAAACCTGTTAACTAATCAATCGATTTTCTCTCTTTTTTCTATTGTACAAAATTATATAGTTTGGATCGGTTGTTTTACTTTTGGTTGTCGTTGAATTTACCGTTGGTGGACTTGCCTACAAGTATCGAGACTCTCTTGAAGACATAACCGATGAAGGATTAAAGAAAACACTCAGCGATTATGGTACCCCAGGGCGAGAAAGTTTAACAAAAAATGTTGACGATCTTCAAATGAACCTGAAATGCTGCGGGGCACAAGGTCCTAAAGACTGGCGTAATCTTACTAAAGCGATTCCCTCCTCTTGTTGTGCTGACAAGGCGAAACTCTGTGACGATAGAGATGCTTATCAAGAAGGTTGCGTTCGAGCCATAAAAGAGACCTTAGCCCCTGCGATGAAAGTTCTGGCCATCACCGTGATCGTATTCGCGGTCATTCAACTTTTGGGTATCTTCGGTTCCTGTTGTGTTGCATCTTGCATCAAACGAGCATCATATGATCACGTCTAATCAAATAACCACCAGATAACATCAACAACAATCAAAACAACTCAGAAAAATATAAATCTATCTACCTAAAAAAAAGCGTAACAATTTACAGTAATTTAATTTCAACAAGAAAAAAAATGACTTTGCCATATTATAAATAAGCCATTTATTTGTATTCAATTAAGACAAAATCAAATGATTGTCATGATGATCAAGATAAATTATATAATTGTTGACGATTGTATTGTAATACCAACAATTACAAGAAAGAGAGAGAGAGATTCATATTACAAGATTAAAGTGAGTTAATATTAACTCGTAATTTTTTTTCAAATCAAATGACAATCAATTATTGCTATTTGATAAAATTTACAATTTGATTAATTGTAAAACCTTTTCAATCTGATTAATTAATTTCTCATCAAATGATTAAGTTTAATTTATTTCATTTGATTCAGAAATTAATTATTATTATCAATTGATTAGTGTCACTAATTGGTTACAATTAGTTGAATATTGGCCAATTCAAATGGTCTAATTGGCTTTTATTAATAAAAATGAATTTATTATTAATACTCGATTAAGAATATTTTAATTGTGATCAATTTTGTGAAAGATAAAAATAAAATAATTAACGATCATGCAAATTAAGCTTAAATTATGTTAATCAATTTTTAAGGTGTAAATTTGACCAATGAACTTGAAGTATTAATAATTAGTTAATTCTGGCAAATTATTGGTTTCAATTGACAGAGTAACAATTAACTTAATCAAACATCAAATGCCCTTGATTATAATAAATTAAAAGGATGGAACAATAAAAACTCAATCTAGATGTTATATTACATCAGACTCAGAGGAAATCAACAATTTGATAAACAATCAGGGGTAAAAATGAATCACCATGCTGATCATGATTAAATTTAATTCTCTTCCCTTAATCTATCAATCCAATTAACCTTTAAATCAACAATAAGTTGACAAAATCTGATCAATCAGATTGCTTTTTTTTCCACAAAAATCACGAATTAAAGTGGCCACTTTAAGCTTTTAGAACAGTTCATCGACAAAACAATCAAGTTTATCTTCCTTAATTAGTGAAAAAAAAATTCTAATTACTAATTAGATTTCGTTTCGTTTACAATATAATCCATATTCTCAACACTTGAGATTATTAAAACCTTTCGAATAGTATTTACTCTCGATCGAGCCTTCTAATTGTTGGTTAGAAAAAAACTATTCTCCCGATAGGATACTCTTAATTAGAACAATTAAAAAAAAAGAATAACAAAAAAAACGAACAATTAATGTAGAAATAGCAGAATGTTAATTGTACAGCAAATTCCAAAATTCGGTTGAACCGCCAGGGGAATGTTTTGTTTTCTATTCTCTCATTTGTTTCTTTTTCTACACTTTTGGTTTTTTCCTTTTCTTTTCTTTTTCTTTTTGCCCATTGACTAATTCTGCACATTTTACTAATTATTGTAATTCTATCTATTAATTGTTGACCATTTTCTTACAATTTGTTCTCTCTAATTGATTTGGTTCCATTATTACAAATTCTAAATGATTGTACCTGGTAAACAATGTGTTACCTTATTCTCAATACTACTGTCTTTGTGTTGTTTTTTTCTCTTGATGATTTTCGGTTGTAAATGATTTATCATGCACGATATGAACAAGAATAATTCAAATAAGTATTATTACAAGAATCATCATCCGATGTCCAATAATAATCAACACAATCGTTCCCACCATCCGGGCAACATGTTTGATAATCAGCGTAATGATTATTTTAACGGGCCTCCTGGTGGTTATATTGGTCCTCCTATGCTCAATAATAATAACAATATGATACCAAGTGGTGGTTATAATCATTTTACTAGTTCTTATCCAACTGGAGGCGGCGGAGTTGGTGGTGGAAATGGAGGTGGTAATGGTGGAGGACCAAATTTTTATAGAGACTTTAGACGAAATTGGCCCCAACAGCCCCAGATGATACCACCACAACAATCGCAGGCACAACACCGACAAATGCCACCAACACGATCTAATCCACCAGTTTCATCGCAAGGACAATCATCTTCATCATCTTCATCATCATCTTCCTCTAATCAGGCTAATAGAAATTCTAACTCTTCCTCAACCACCGTGACAACCACAACTACCACCACTTCGTCGTCATCTTCTTCATCATCTTCCTCCTCTTCTAGAAATACTCGAACAATTGATGAACAGACACTTCTTAAATTGAAACAACACTTAACCGTTACACAGAAGGAATTGGCTAGAGTGATTGCGAAGAAAATTAAACTCGAAGTGGAAGAAAAAAGGTTACAAAAGATTGTGGATAAAAGTAAATCAGAGGTTGACAGGTTGGAATCGAGATTAAGAGATCCAAGGGTCAAGAATCGACCCGACTCAGGTGAATGGACCGGTTTCTTTTTCTATGATGAAAATGGAACAAAAAATCTTTAAAACCAAAAGTCATTATATTCTTTTCTATTCTATTCTAACTTGTTTATTTTCTCTCTTTTTTGTCTAAATTCTAGGCCATTCGACACCACCGACACTGGACCGATCATTTAATTTCTTATCCACTCCTCAAGTTTTCCCACCATCAACTTCACTTCCTACTACTTCAGTTACCAATATATTAACAACAACAGTGCCAATTTCTAGTGTTCAAAATACATTTACATTTTCCGGACTATCCAACGCAACCTTGCAGCTCAACTCTCACCTCTCAACTCCCAGATCAACTGCAACAACAGCAACAACAACCACAACATCAACCATAACCACGCCAACATTTATTCCCAATTTGTCAATTCCACCATTAACAGGACCAGGTAACATTTCAATTGTTAACAACTCTGGTAATTTAACATTAAATGGCCCCCTATTATCTATGTCTCCTCAATTCGCCGGAGGTCAAACAGCATCACTTCTCGCTCCTACAACTCGAAGTTCTAACAAAAATTCCACCTCTAGAGGTAAACAATTAGGTAATTTAGTCCAATTTAAGCAACTTAATTTGGTTTTTGCTACTTTTCCTGATGAGATTTTAAAACCAGAAATTTATCGTAAGTTTGTTCTGTCATTTTCTCTTGTACTGTAAACACCAGAACACTTTAAATTTTACAATCTAATCAATTGTTGTTAATCATTTCTCTTTCTCTCTCATTCTCTTTATAGCTTCAAGTCAAACCAAGCTTAGAGTTAATTTCGTTTTTAAACCAAGTCAACTGGACTTAATTCAAGATCCCCAACAAAGAGTTTTATTAAGAATATGTAATTTCAAATCAAAGAAAGCGAATCAAGGTGACAGAGTTTCCCGTAAATTATTGATTAAAATTAACTCCAGACCATTTTCATTGGGAGTAAGTTGATCTTACACATCATCAAAATTTTTTGCATAAAATTTTAGCAAAAAAAAATGCTAATACATGTCAAACCATAGTTATCCAATGAAGTTGACAATCTATTTATTTATTTTTCCCTCTCAATTCATTGTATACAGAAACAAGCCGCTGGATCAATCAAAGCACCTTTAGATATAACACAATATTGTACTGTTCTACGAAATGAACTTGATCTTTGTTGGCCTGAAAACGAGCCTGTTCGTGATTACAGTATCGGTATATACATTAGTAGAAGATTTACTCCTGACAAAATCCTCGATAACTTGAAAAAAAAAGAGTATCAAAGACCAAGTGATGAAACTTTAAAAATGAGTAAGCAAATTGATTCATCATTTTGATCAAAACTTTACTTACATATTTATGTATTATATAATATATGATTGTTTATTAATCTCTCTCTCTCTCTCTCTCTCTCTTGACTCTTATTTTCTAGTTGTAAAAAATTTCGCTGCCAGTGGTGATATATGCTCAGAGGAGATAATGGTCCCTCTATGCTGTCCAGTGTGTACTTTTTTTGACATTTATCTCTCTCTCTTGATTTACTTGCATCAACCACAATGATTGATTTTATTGATTAATATTGTTAACATCCCCTCGAAGATTAAGATCAACATTAACTCTTGAAAAATTTTCTATTACTATTTTTAGATAACCAAAAAAAGACTTGAAATCCCTGCGATTGGTGTGAAGTGTGAACATCTTGCCTGTTTCGATGCTAAATCATTTTTAGATATCAATCAAAAACGCTCAGAGTGGCATTGTCCGTCTTGTAAAAAAGCCATAAGCTTCAATGATCTAAAAGTAGATTGGTAAGTTGACATGAATGGAACAATCAGTTAATTGAGTAGTTTGATTAACTTTGTCTTTTCTTTTCTCCACCATTTATACAGTTTAATAGCTGAAATATTGTCCAAAGCTCCGCCTGAATGTTTAAAAGTTTCATTTGACCGAAATGGTACTTGGCATCCTGTGATAGAAAATAAAGCGAAAGAAACTTCCCCTACCTTAATTGACGTTAATCGAATTGACATAATTACTTTAGATGACAGTGATGAGGAAAATTTGAAAGGTGGAAACAACGATAATCATCCCACCGGTGTATCAGCCGGAGAGGCAAGAATGGATTTAGAAACTGAGCACGAGGAAGAGGAAGATGAAGAAAGTGAACAAGATGACGACGAAGATACAGAGCAAGATGATGAATCAGATGATGCTAGTGATGATGATGATAGTGATGATGATAGTAATGAAGATTCAGATGAAGAAGGTAAGAAAATTATTTTCCATTTTAATTGTAATCCCTTTTATTTAACTATCAATTCTATATGAAAAATAGTTCTACTTTTTAGTTTAATTTTCCTTTCACCTTTTATAACAAATATTAACCCAAGAGAAAATAAGAAAAAGTTGTTTAGTGTTTAACTATTTGAGGAACAATTAAGAAAAATTCCCAATATTTTAAGATATTTGTTCTCTTCTCTCGCCCATCCTCATCTGTGACCTTTCTCAACTTTTCATTACAAAGGTGAATTAACTGATAACAGTCGAAGAGATAATTCTGGTCGTTGTGAAAGAACTCGTCGATATGAGGATGATCCCGATTTTGTTTACTCTGGTACTGAATCTGAATCGAAAAGTCCAAATGGTGAAGGTCCTTCATCTAACGGTGATACAGATCACAATTTAGATGATTCAGCGTTAGATGAGGAGATTAGACCACCTTCAAGTAATAACTTATTATCCAAACTGCTTGATAATCATCATCCAATCATCTCAATGTCTATTTCGTATTTACCGTTAATTGCATGTCTCTCTCTCTCTCTCAAACTAATTTACTTAACCACCCAACGCTTATTAATAACCTTTTTTTCACCAATCTCTTGCATGATACTTTTCCAGATAAACAATTGGTCGACGAATTGATTATCGTTCGAATCTTTTTCATAATAATGTTTATCTTTCCTTTCACACTTTCGATCTTCGAAAAACTTTTCATTTACATTAATATTAACCATTTGATTGTTTTCTCTCTCTTTTCTTTGTTCCGTATTCGTGAGTTTAGGTAGTCGTGAACGAAGGAAGAAACAGTTCTCCGAAATTTTTGGCAGTGATTCCAGGGAGAACTCACCGGATTCTTCTGTTAATTCTCCAGTTACTCGTAAAAAGTAATCATCGAATTTATCATATTCTAAGGAATAACAACTTTTCTTTTTTACATCTCTAAATAATGTCTTCCATTTTCTCTACTCTATTAGACGGAAACAAAGGACTGGAAGAAGATGTACAAGAAAAGTTCGACGAAAAGATTAACCGAACGCTCATTTTTACCATATAATTTTTGTTAATACGGAAAATTTTGTGATAACAATTCATTGGAACAATTTAAATCAATCATCTCACACACTCTCTCCATCATCTTTGTTATCTCTCAACTACCATCGACATCTTTCACCCCTCTCATCATCATCATCATGGCCAACAATAATAATCATCATCCATCCATAGGTCATTTCAAAATCAACTCGAAAATTAATCATTATCATCAATTCATTTGTCATCATCACCACCGCGGTATAAATATTATCTTTTGTATCCCCTTGAAAAGAATAGGAAGAAAATGATAATATTTTGTTTCATCATCGAGCGACACTCAAGAAATATCGAAATCTGAGAAAATAAGTTCCTTGTTTATTTATCGAAAATTCTAACATGAGATTCTGGTATCCTTATAACAGTTTGCATTCCCATTGGAAGAAAATTTTATTAATATTTATAGAACTTTGTTTTTTTTGTCTTTTACCATGAAAAACACTATGGCAATCAAAGTACAACAATTGAAAGAAATCAACTCAAAATTGGAGAAAAAAACAAAAGTAAGACCAAAAAGTTCAGTGTAATCTGTTCATGGGAGAAAACTCATCATCTTCTATTTTTCATAATAGTCTCTTCCCCATTTGCCTTCTCACTCTTTCAAATGTCCTCTTCTTCTTGCACAATTAACTTATCAACGATTCCAAATTGATGATGGCCGATTAATTGGAGTATATATGGACACAATCAACATCCCAAAGAAAGAGAAAACCACCAAATTTATAAATAATAACATTAATGATAAGAATATGTAATTAAATCTAAATGAGAATTAAACAAAAAGAGCACAAACTCTGTATAGAGAATGGAAATTAGAAAAACAAAGTTATGCTTTTTTGATTAAAATCCATTGAAAGTTTACTAATTAGTTTACAATTTACAATTCGCTTGATTGTGAAATTGGAATGAAAAAGTTTCAATTAATTGGGAAAAACCTTGATTGCGAAATTAACTCACCAAGTTGTTTAAATTATCATTAATTTGTTAAAAATAAATCAAAATGATGAAAATTAACTTATTAATAAAGGTTGGAATTTTATTTGATTGCTAGTGATAAGAAATTAATGAGATGATGGTAAATTAATTGATTAAATTATTCCAAAAGTGATGAAGACAATTTACAGATTTGGCGATCGTCAAAATGGAAGAGAAAAAAAAATCGAAGACAAAAAAATGATATTAACCTAAAAAATAGTTTCTTATTTTGATGATGATGATGGCGATTAAAGATGAAGATGATTAAGCTTTCCAAATTGATGAACTGGATTTAATTTAATCGTTGGTTGGACAGACGAATCGAGAATCTTGGATCAGAATCTTCCAGGTTTTGACAATCGAGAGAAAACTCTTAATCCTTGATTAGAGACTCTGACAGTTCGATTGTTTCGATGATTATTATTACTATTATTGTTATTGTTATTTCCACGAGAATTTGAGGTTTGTAAACGATCCCAAACTGAACCTTTCGATTTATGCTTAAATCCACCAACTCGTCGATGTACATTAGAACCAAGTCTCTCATCTAGATGATGATGGCTTCTTTCCTCTTCTTCATCGGCTCTCATTTTCATATTAACTGGGACATTTTTCACTTCGATTAACTCATTGTTTCTAATGGTTCGAGAAATATTTCGTCGTAGCTTAGAATTGCTAACACTTATTCTTGGAGCTTCTTTTACTTTTTCACTTCGCTCCTTTGGATCGGGTACTCCGTATTTCTCATAGAAAACACTATGTTTTCGAGCTCCAGGCATCTTTTTATCAGCTAAAAGAAGAGAAAATATCAAATTAGTCGGAATTCTTTTTCTTATACAATAGAATGAGAGATAAATTTAGAAAGGGAAATAACAAACTTGTCGATGCGAATCTTAGAAGAAGATGTTTAGCTTTATCATGCGATTTTCCTAATCTCCAGCGATTAGGAGGAACAGAATATTCGATATCATTGGCATCGATTACTTCAACTTCCTCTGGAACACCTTCTAAAGTATCTTGACTCTTATGAAGTATTAAAGCGACTGTTAAACCCTCAAGTGCCGTTGCCGCAGCTCGATTATCAGCAAATAATACATTACCTGAAGAGAGATAAAAAAATTTGTGGAAAAAGAGACAGAAAAACATGAGAAACTTGATCATAATGGAATATTGATTTTCAGTTCAAAGATCAAAATGCTAACATGATAAATCATTAACCCATTCGATGAAATCTGGTTCATAGTCGTTGAAAAATTGTAGAACATCATTTGTATTCATCTCTTGGACTCCTCGTATATGAACAACATTCAATCTCCATGTTGAGTATTTTTTATCTAATGAAATGATTGATGATCGATTGGAAATAGAAGATAAAGAGAAAAGAGAGAACAAAGATCAGAATTAGTAAAATTGAATACAAATACACTTGAATGAGTCAAATAAGATGAACCAAAGTGAGTTAATAGACACAATTAAGTGACAGAAAAATAACTCATTAAAATCAACACAAGAAAATGAAATTAATCATTTCGAAAGTGTAACAACTAATATAAAAAACTCAACTGGATTCATCTGTTGGTATACCAAGGCTGTTGTATAGAGTAACAATTTGTTGATCATTTAGCTTAACAATTTCGTTTGATTGGGTTCCTTCTTGAAGTACAATTCTAATTCCATTTTCGGTTGAATCACTAATCAAGGGTTGATCAGGTTCCAAGTTAAGCTCAGAGTCACTTTGATAATCATCAATTAGATCATCAATCTGACCGATGTCAACTTCAATCTCCATAGTCTCGTTATCCATGATTAAAGAAATTTAAACAATTCAACTAATCTACAAGAGAAAACAATTCATTCAATTTAATAGGAAACAATTAACAGTCAACAAGATGTAAGAAAAAAATGAAAATAAACAAAATAAACACCGGAGACCAAAAAGAGACTAAAAAAGTAAGAGAGTAAATAAGCAAAGTAACTTGTCTTTCTTTCTCTTTCTTTTCCAATCAAAGAGTCTCTTTCTTTTTTTCCCCGGTTAATTTGAATTCTTTCCAATTACATTTCTCTTTTTCTTAAACAATTAATCAAGTTTAATTACCGAAAGAAATCATTGACGTTTAGTTTTTCTTAATTAATTTTTAATTGTTTTTATCAACGCAACATAATTAGCAATTAATTAAATTACCTAAAGTAAAAATTTGAACAAATTATCATTAATACAAAACAAGCAAAAAAAAAAGTATTTAAATTATTTGATTACAGATTTAATTGTTATATTATATCTGGAAACATAACAATCAAGGTTTTCGTGTATTCGTTGATAATTAAATCAAAGGAATACAATTCTATGTATATATATTGAGTGTATTAAGGTGATAGAGTTAATTGTTAGGGAGGGAAAAGCGGAATAGGAATAGGAAATTAGAGAGAGAGAGAGAGAGAGAGAGAGAGAGAGAGAGATGAAGAGAGGGAAAGATTTTGATTTAATCCGATTTGATTGGGGAAGTTTTTTGATTATGAACAAAATTAACAAATGATGAATCACTCATCCCTCTTTGCGAGGTTGAACCTTTGGTTTTACGATAATAAGAGTTAATGAAAAAGTTGGCAAAGAGGACAAAGTATGAAGCGTACATAAGGAGACCCCATTTAATTGAGCCTGAGGTTATAGCGCACGGGTAACCTTGCGATTTTTTATCGTACCCATAGTAGGTCACGTAAAATCCCATGATCATTTGAAGGATTTGTGAGGTTGTTATCGTCATGGCTATTGGTTTGGGTACACGGAAACCGGATGCTCGAAGCGCATAATAAGTGTACATGGCTGAATGAACCACGTAGTTCATACAAATGTACCAACGAGCTTGGGAAACGTGCTCAGCGTAACAGTACCAAGTGAACAAGAGGACAGTTATATGGTGATACCAGTGGAGAAAGAGTAGATTTTGTTTACGGAAAACAATGAAAAGGGTGTCACAAAGTTCGGGTACCTTTGAGAGAGCGAAAACCCATGTCCAGTAACCGGAGACTCGATTGACCTCAATGTAACTTGGATTACAAACTGAATGATAGAAGCCAAAGTTTCTCAACATATGAATCATTTCTGGAAGTATTCTGGTGGGATAAAAATAGATAAATATGCAATTAGTTATATAATCAACAATTGATTAATCGATGTAATCACAATGAGGAAATAATATTTAATCAATCGAGTTAAATTACTTTCCAAGAATCAATCATAATTTTCAATCGATTGCAAATTAATTTACACTTGATACGACAAATCGTATCTATTGTGCCCGTAAGTGGTCACTTTAAGGTCAATTAGTTAATTTTTTGTGCTACAATTAAATCCCAATAATAATGAAAAGGTAAGAAAAATATTTAAATGATTATCATTAGCAAATTTAATGATAAAATGGAAACGTGATTAAATTTTGTTGTTGTGTTGTTTGTGACAATGACGTTAAATAATGATTACTTTGATTTTTAATGGTTAATTGCGCTGATTGTACAAGTAAGTTTCCGGGTAAAAGTTAATTAATATACTGATTGTTGGCTCTTCTTCATTCTGATATTTTGTAATTAGCTATTTATCAGACACATTAATGATATGTATTAGACGTGCAATTGATTATCATCTTGATTGTGTTGTAAATGATAATGAAAGTAACTAATCAATGTAATCCTTTGATTGTAAACAGCTATTAACAATATCGAGTATCAGATTTACAGGTTTAAGGATTACGAATCGATAAACAGATCACAATTAAGGTTTAATGCTTTCATATGATTCAGACAATTTAGATGGGAGGAAGATATTAATCAAGATAATTAAATTGTTGCCTTATTAATTGTGTCTAAAGGGGAAGATGAATATGATAAACAAGAATATGAAATTAGGTAAACAGGAAATATTTTTCTCGATTTCTTTTTAATAATAATAACAATTCACTGATTCTGGCATTTTAATTTAGTTGGTAAATTGATTTAATCAATTAATCGAAAATTAATTATACTAATATCATAATATATATGGCAGAGAAATTAATATTTGAATAATTTATCAAAAGTGACACTAAAGTAGCGATTAAATTGACATTAGATTGTTGGTTTATTGTCAAAGCTAAACAATTAAGGAAAATTTTGCTATTAATCAGTTGTTGACAATTTAAATTACAAAGGATTGGGAATTGATATACTGTTGATTGGTTGAAGAGTAATTTACTTAATCAACTTGGGAATCCACTGAAAATGTCAATTAAGTTAATTGTCATCAGGCTGTTCAAAATCTGTAATCATCCATCAAAGTAAATTTTTATCAAAACCGGAATCTTATAATCAGCTGATTGTGAGAATCGGCTGATTATTTGAATCAGTAAAAATTTACTTCCGGTTAAAGATCGGATGATTTTCAAATTAACATAAACTAACAGTAAATCAGTTAATACAGATTAAATTGTAACAATTATGATTAGTAGTTTTATAGTTAATATTGGATCAAGTTCAATGAAATAAACCAAGGAAATCAAGGTAAATATTAAATTGAGGTTAATTTTTTTGTTTCCTTCGTTAAATTGTAACAATTAGCCAAAATTTTACCTTGATTGGGTTAAACGGAAAATTTTCTTATCTCTAGAGTTATATCATTGATCGTGTTGATGAAAAACTAGATCAGGATAAATATACTATCAACAATTAGTAAATTATCGTATGTTAACCCTTAAGGAAATAGTTACGTTTAAATTCAAGGCTTCATCTCAAGGTGATTTGCTGAGCTTCAATGTTAAATTAACAAGATGTATGTTAATAGTTGATTGTATCAATCAAGAAAATGGATGACGATAATTAAAATTTAACTAATGATTTGATTTACTAATTAGCTAAACATTGAATTTCGCAATTGTCACGTTAATTATATTAATCAACACTCATTGTCAATTTTTTTTGGAGGGTAAATTGTCCATATAAAAGGATGGAGATTATTAAATTAACCAAATTATTTAGCCAATAACCAAATTGTGTAATACTTAAGTTTAATTGTTGGAAATGTCAAACAATTAATACTTAATTTATCTTTGATATCAAAATGATTAAAGGTTTTTTTTTCGATTCATTTAGTTTGATGATATTCAAAATAAACAAGGAAAATCTAAAACAATTAATATTTACATAGATAAATTATTTTAAACTGTAAACTTTAAACGCAATCAATATATTGTATTGTTTACTATTCAAGGATCTGATTAATGAAGAAATAATTGATTTTTTTCAGCTCTACTAACAATTGGAATTGAAGGAAAAAAAATCAAGGTATTTTTAGAGTAAATTGTAATTAGTAGGAAAAAAAACTAAACTCTTCAACCAAATCAGAGGAAAACATCACAGTCTGTTGATTAGTATTGGGAAAAGTGAACAATTAACAATGAGAAAGCGACAATTATATCCTGTCATTAAGCTACATGTTAATTTTATGCTTTGATTAAGTTAATTAAGTGGATAAAGTTCAATGATATTTCCTAAATTAAGATACTGGATAAACACCCATATGTTAATCATTGGAAAAGGTGAACAAACAAGAAAATGAGACGAATAAAATTTTGATTCAATTTGCGACCATTGAGCTGATTTGATTAACATGATTATCGAATTTACAATTAAATGACCAACCTGATTGTTCCAATGATTGAGAATGTAGCCAATGCAGTATTCCAAACAATTAGAAGGGACTTAAATTTGTAGGGTTGACGTTTTGACATGTAAGCTTGACCTCCGAAGACCAAGACCAGGTAAAGGGCGACCCAATAGAAGGCAGTTTGCCAATGATTTCTCATCCATTCTCGGGCTTCGGTGTATTGGAATGACCTTTCAAAGGGAAAGGTGAAGGTGTAATTTGGTGACACTTGACTTGACCGGTACAGGTAAGGGTCCGAAGTGATGATTGGTGAATTCATTGTTAATTGCAAATTGATTGCTGTCCAGCAAAACTAAAAGAAACACTTTACAACAAGGAACAAGGATAAAGGAAGAGAGAGAAAGAGAATTGAAATTAGGAAATTAATTTGGTTTCACAATTAGTTTAAAGGTTAATTGTAGAGAGAAAATTTTTTTAAACATAGAAACTTAATCAGTGTAACACATTGATAACCATTAAGGTCATTTGGTTTGTTGATTGTTTATTGACAATTAACCAATTACATCAAATGAAATCATCACAATCAAATAAGGGATGGTTGATTAATTTGATTGTTTCAACATAAAAGATGAAGATTGTGATGATAAAAGTCAACAAGCAATTGTTTACTTTTTGATTTCTTGATTGTCTCTTGTCATTAAAAAAGTTTCTTAATTTAAAAGTCTCCCAGTGATGTTTCATTGTTAATTGTACTTACCAATTTGCTTTTTTAATTGTTAAGGTGATTTGGAAATTAATTGTTATTTGGTTAGACCAAAGAAAGAAAAAGGTGGAAATTGGAAACAATGGAGATGATTAATTCTCTACCACCGGTGACGTTGAATAAAAACAATTAGAACAATTAATCAATTATCTGAGAAAATGATACAAAGTTAATTGTTTAACAAGTCAAGTAAATAGTCACTTTAAAAATTAACAAATTGTAGATATTATTGATTGTTTAGTTACTGTTTCAACTGGAGACAAATGCTGATTAACTTGAGGCTCTTCATGTAATGATAGACACAAATTCACACAGTTACACTGATTGAGATAAATTGTCTCGATTTTGATCAAGTTAATTAGCACATTTAAGAATTAAGCTCTTTTCTTCTGGCTAAGAAGGTTAACTGTTAAATGGTATGATGGCGATTTGTTAATTACGATAATGAAGAAAAGAAACAAATTAACAAGACGCTCCCACTATTTTTCTTTCTCCTTTTTTAGAGTTGATTCCAAGTCTCACAAAATTGTTACCATTGTCTTTGGATGAGAGGATATTTCAATGTTGAATTAATTTCACTTGAGACAAAAATCGTTGATTGTTGAAAGATAACAAGGGTTTATCATGTAACTAGAAGAGAGAGAGAGAGAGAAATTAATGAGTAGTCAGAGAAAAAGCAAACCGACAGAATAGAAGCAGAAAAAGAGTCAAAAGGTAAATCCAAATTCTCTCCACCTTTTCTTCAGAATCCGCCTTCTTTTACAGAACTTGGCTTGACTCTTTCTTTTTTATATTCTCTCACTTACCTGTTGATGGTGATGATGGAATTGAGGCGAATTCACTATTAAATTGAAATGAAAAGAAGAATAAAAAAAGGGAAGAACCGAAAGAAGAAAAAAAGATGAGACCATAAATTATGAAACCGAAAAACTGGTTTCTCTCAATGAGATATTCATATGAGACTCGATTTAAGATGTAATTCTGGATAATCTACTCTTATCTCGATAATTAGATGATTACACAATTTTCCCAGTTAAAACAAATAAATACAAATTAATTCCAGACAGACAATCAATCAGTTAGTGATCAAATTACCTTCGATCACAATTATCTCAAATAAAATCGAAACGAATTTCAAATTTCTGTTTACATTTCAATTCCAATCTCCAACACGAGCGCCATCTCTTGTTCTAATTAACAGATTCAATTCTAATTCAAGCAAAAATTTTCTTAATAATCCATAATCCTAAATTAGAGTTTCTAATCAACAATCAATTAATCGATCAACGATAAACAATTGAAACTAAATTCCAGGTAAAAGTGCCTTTCCGCCTGAAAAATTGATTACAATTTCTAAATAAGAATAACTTATAATTATCATCTGATATTTAAGAAAAAACTTAAATGGAGTTGTGTGAAAAGTTCAGTTGATTGTTTAAACGTTGAGAAAATCAAATTTGATTTCAATTGATTATTGAACTAACTTTAGGTTGTGGTCATTTAAATGAACCGGGGTGAATGAGACAATTAAAATATAGTTGGAAAAGTTTACTTGTAGAGGGCAATAGTTTCGTCCATGGGTTTAAACTTTAAAAGTTTAACTTTTCTGTGGTTGTTTTAATTGTAATTGTGATCAGTAAATTGTATCAACATGAATCCTATTGAATATCGTTCAGTAATCAAGTTCCTTGTGCGAAAAGGATTAACAGTTGACCAAGTGACCACTGAGATGAAGAGTGTTTATCGCGATGATTGTCCAAGTGATGAAATAATTGCAAGTGTCCATCAAGAGTTTACTCAAACTTTTGCCTCGAAAATGAAAAAATAACCATTACAATGATCGTTAAAAAATCGAAATAAAAATCAATCCTATTCGCAATTAAACAAACCAATGTCTCCAAATTACTTCAACTGTTTCAATCTTTACAATTGTTACATTTTTCATAAAACCCTGAGTATATAGATGGTTAAAGGTCAAACCGGTATGTAATCAGTTCATCGTTAATATTGAACTGTTATTGATTGGATTCCATGAAAGATCAGAAGTTAAAACACGGAGATGAAAATATTAATAACAGTAGATGTTAATAGAATGAATCTTTCAACTGAGAAACAATTCAAGTCTTCGTGATGGTTGAACAATTAGTCAAGTAGCTCAATATTACATGAAGATGAATAAAATGAAAAAATTACCCAAAATTCATCAGTGATTACGAAAAAAAATTAAAACAATTTTCTTTCGAAAAATGGAAAAAATTTGAGCATGTTTACTAAAATGGGTACACTAAACTCTCGGTGGTAAGGTTCAAGTTATGTCCGTAAGCTCAACTTTTCTACTTTCAGCTGACTTTTTTTTGGCTTACAATTACAGCTACACATGGAAATTAACTTAATTTCTCAATTAATTGTGTTTGTTTGGATTAGGTTAGGTTAGATTTTCACTATTAAGGGTCACTATTGACAAAGGAAGGCCCTGAGGGCCTGAGACAATCAAACTATCACACAATTAATGTAATGTTACCCAAATTATTTGATTGATTCTTTTCTCTTCAGGTTATATTTTCAGCTTTCGATGATTTCTTTCAATTTGCACTGATTAGAAAATTGGTCTTTTTTATTTATCGAATAACTAAATATTTAATGACAATAGTTGAATTCTTATTGATGACAATTTTCAAATCTACTGAACGAGGAAATTTTCCATTTACATGTACTTGATAATCTCCTCGGATTGTAAGATGAATTTTCCACGCGGAATCTGTACCGAATTGTGTTTAGTTATCCAAACTGAACAGATCATCTCGAAAAATGAGGAATACCCGATCGATTGAACGAAAACTTCTTGGAAATTTTCATCGAAATCAATGATTGATCGGATTTTCTCACGCATCTGATTTATGATTGAAATGAACAATTAAAGGTTGGGTAAATTAACTGGTTTGTATTTTAATTGTTTTCTTCATCAATATGTGATCAAAATCTCGAGCAAGAAATCAAATGCAATAGAAAACAATACAATGATTGGTACAAAAACGATTTTGGTCAAGGTTTGTTTTCATTCCTTTTTTTATGTTAACCACAATGTACAATTTGAATTTAATTTTTGATTGTTCAGTCATGACCACGAATATAATCAAGAGGAAAAAATGTCATTAGAACGCTAATGATGTTGATTTAACTTGGGCTAATGAGATTTTGATTTTTCCATTTGATTACAGGCTAATTGGAAGAGTTGTTTATGAAACCATGAGAAAATCTCTCGAGGAACCAATGGACCCATAAGAAGAAGAGGTTTAATGTAAGGAGAAGCACAAACGTATCTGTACAAAGGTTCGGGTTCGGTTAGCGCTTTAGCAACAGTTCGAGAAACTTCGCTGGGATCTTGATTGGCCCCCAAGGCATTGAGTCGAATTAGTGTGAAAAAGTCAGCGATCATTTTCTTGTAAGCGGACTGTCCGAAAGCTTTTCTAATTGATTCACTGGTTGTATTCCAACATTTGTCGTCGTGAAGATTTAAATTGTTGGTGGTCAACATATCGGTACCATAAAAGTAAGGTTCAATTGAAGTGACCTTAACACCAGAATCAGTAATCTCATCACGGAGACAGTCACAGAAAGCGGTGATACAATGTTTGGACATACAATAAGCGGCTAAAGGCGAAGCTGAAATCCGAGAGGCGATTGAGGAAAGGACAACAATACGGCCCTTTGATTGTCGGATAAGCGATGAAAATTTTTGTGTCACTCGAACGACAGCGAAAACATTTACGTCAAACTGATCTTTGACAAAGTAATTAAAATCGCCCATTTCAATTGGAGCCATTCGCAGGATACCAGCGTTATTTACTAATCCATAAAGTTGTTCGTTGTTATTTTTCTGGTCCAACGAGGAGACAATTAATTTATAAACAGCGTCTAGATCTTCATCCTTTGTAACGTCCATTTTAACCACGATCATTGAGTCCGGATTCTCGGCTTTAGCCTTCAAACTATCGGCACCCGGTCCAGTCGGGAACAAACAACCCGCGAACACTTTGAAACCCATTTTGTTGAGCAATAAGGCTGTTCCATGTCCGAATCCTGAGTCACATCCTACGAAAAAGATACGATAATGATAAAAAAAGAAAGGAAATAGAAAACAATAAATTAGCTAATTATCCATCTAATTTAATCACCATCATCAGTAAATTGCTTCGAGCTTGGGAAAGTGTTCTGAAACTCTATAACCTTTATTAAGGAAGTGGTCTAACTGAATACAGTTTAAAAATTACGGTTAAAATAATTGCATCAGTTAATTACATTCAGGATAATCGATGAATGGATGAGATTGTGAGCAAATTAAATTTTTCCTTTCGTTTCTCAAACTTGACTAAATTGTACAATTTGAACAATCTGAACAATCCTCAGCACAAAGCTGAACGAAACGAAAGAGCTGAACAATCCAAGAAACTCAACAATTTAAGTTTATTATCACGATAAACATTAAACAACATCTCCACTTAATTGTATTGACTAAATTGTGATACTCATCAAACATGTTGTCGTGTTTAATAATTGATTTAGACTCTCAAGGATTTGATTACTTAACCAAAACCAACACTTGATCGAGGGACAATTAATCCTTTCAATCCAAAACTCATGGAGATTCAACTATCATCAATTATTCAGAATTCACATGAAATCGTTAGATGAACATGAAAACAACTTCGTTAGTCCGATAACTTTTCTGAAAATTATCCAACGAAACGAGCAAGATTTTATATCTATTAGGACAAAGTCGAATCATTTTTTACTATCAAAAGTTTTAATTGATGAGAAAGTCAACTGTTAGCTAATCAGAGACTTCTAATTGAGTACATTGAGTGTTTACTGAAAGGCAAATTAATTCTAATCATCTTTATCATGATAATTAACAAGACTTACAATTAACTTTCAAGCCTCAACCAGACTCAAGGTAATCAACGTAACTACTTTTGTTTACCATGTAACTCATATGATTGATTTATTAATACAATTAAAATTATATAATTAATCGTTAACTACGTAAACAATTAAACCAGAATTTCGAGCTTAATTTAATTATTATTAAGTTCAAATTAATCAGGTAAAAGAAAACTCAATTCAAAAGTTAGGGAAAAAAATTGTAAACAAAATATTCAATTTCTAAGAATAGGAAAAAAATTAACATTTTGAAAGGATTAACCTTTTAACCTTGACTAGTAAAATTTAAGGACATTAGCACTGGTCATTCAGCTTGACCAGTGGTCATCACACAAAAGTAAACTGTAGCTACAGTAATCGCTATTGATATTTGACAAGTAACCAAAATTTTGGAGTAAAAATTGTAAAAGGAAAAAAGTATTTTACTCAAAAATTGCCTGAGGCGTTTAAATTTAATTCAACATAATTTTGTCTAATTTTGTTAACTGTTAACATTTGATTAATCAAACTTAATGAGATACTTACTTTACCTGTTTATAAATTGAATACATAATTAAATCTGATACAATGAGGTTCATTTGGTAAAGGAAAAGTTAATCATAAAATGTTACAAGTTGATTGTAAATATTGTGTTTAAATTACTTATAAGGTAATCGAGATCGTAATCAATGTTGAATCATCTTAATTGTTGACAGTTAATTTTAATCAAATCACTGAAAGCATTAAATAAAATACATTACAACATCAAAGTTTCCAATATTTACCTTTAAATCATTAATTTATTAATATTTTCTAACCATCATTAACTGATCAATTTACCATTGAGATGATAATTAACCATGTTTGTGTTAATTTCTTATATTTAAAAGTTTCTATTAATGATTAATTATCGATTATTGTTTCTCTGTATTACTTGAGAGATCTAATCATTTTCAATATTTATGGCGAGCAATCAAATATTAGTTTATGATTAACAATCAACTAAAAGGTAATCTCAAAGATCGTGATTAACCAAATCTCAGAATTGAAACAACAATTTAAATTGTTGTTCAAGATCATTTCAAGTGAACTTCAGTTCAATAGTCTATCAATGAGACTAATCATGAAAATTGTCGTTCAGAAAACACAATTATCATTATTACAATTAATAGAGAATCAAAATTAATCCTGTTAATGAGTGGAAACAAAACACAGATTGATTAAGCTGATTTATATCCGGTTGAGGATTGTTGATCAAAAGGTATGATTATCATTAGTTGATTGTAATTAAATAGCAACTTATGAAATCAAGTGTTCAAGTGAAAACTTTAAATTACTCGCTATTGATTGATAATAATCAGAAAAAAAAATTAACTTTCGAAACGTAAATACAAATGTAAGGTGCTAATTGTTACCTTAGTTTGAATTTACAACAATTTACCATTAGGTCACCTAATTACTTGTTGACAATTAGATGAGGTCAGAATCATAACAGAGTCGGACCTTGAAAATCAATCAAGTCTAACGAGAAACATGAATACCTTTTTTTTAAATGGTCGACAAACTAAATTAGTTAATTAATTTTAAGAAATTTGTTGAAAGAAGGAAAAAAGTTGATCTCGATTAAACTGTAAAAGTAACTCTTTACACGATATCATTTCAACTAATCAAATGTATCACTAGTTGATTGTTGTTGATTGTTGTTGATCAGCAAGAGGAAAAAGGTTAATAAAGTATCAGAACTAAAAAACAACCGAAAAATAAATTGTATTGAATATTAATGGTTCTCAGGTTAACCTTAATCACTACAAACACAATTAAGATTAGCTAGAATGGAACACAATTTAAAGGTAATCAAATGTTACCACAAACAATGTGAATGTTTATTCAGATGATTTAATAATTTAACAGTTTACTAATTGTTTGTTAATATTGACATGAATTAGATGAAGATTTTCAGTAAACGCTAAAATAATTGAATTGGATTTTCCTTCCAATACAATTAAATTTAATCATTTGCTCGATACAATGTTTACTTTGACATGGATCTTGAGTCTAACTCAATCAAAATTGGTGTTATTATTTAGTCAATATTATCTTAACAATTAAGAATACTGTTAATTGGGTTAATTTAATATTGAAAATAAAGTTAATCACATTTGTAATGGTTGTCAATGAGTGAGTATTGGGTTAACTAAAATAATAGGAGGAAAATTTTTAGATATTGATTGTGATTCCTTAACGTTGATGATGTTGTTTGGGTTAATTGTTTATAACATTAATTAGCGACTTACCTGTTACTAGGATTGCTTTTCCTCTGGGATTGACCTTTGGGGCAAAGGGTTTGAAGAAGGACAATAGGAAAGGTGCAAGTTCCCAGGCTAATACCCCGAGGACAGTGAAAATGCCCAAAAAGTTTATCAGTGACCGAAAAATGGTGAAATATTGATGAAAAAAGCACAATAATAGGAACGAAACTCCAAAAGCTTTATATTTAAGCCTAAAAAAGATGAAACCAAAAAAGGAAAACAAGATTAAATCAACAAAGAAAATCACAAATATGAGAGACTAATTAAAACCAATTGAAATTAGGGCCTGAGGAGAAACTGAAAAACAACTTTGGATAAAATTCATTATTGTTACCAAAGGTTAATTTGAATTTGAACCACAGGTGAAAGATTCAATTGGCCAGGTCATCAACAACAATTAACTTCATAAACAGTGAACACAATTGGTAAACAATGAATGTAAACAAAAGCAAAAGCAAAAAGATGAGAAAATACTTACTCCATATTTGATGAGTAAATTTGTGTTTTAAATGACCAATTAAATGATTTGTTGGATGAGAATAGTTGATCAAGTTAATGAGCACCGATGAGATGATATGGCTTGATTGTAATTGTGGAATAAAATTAATTGTTATTGTTCAACAAACCAACCAAAACAAGTGCTGAATAAACACCGGCGTTGAAATGGATGAGGCACTAAACTAGAAAAAAGATAAACGATGAGTTGATGCCATAGATGATGAGGAAGATGAGGAAGATGATGGAGAGAAAGATGTCACTGAAGATGATGGACTAGCCATTAAAGAAGAAGAAAAGATGAACAAGTTGGAAGATGGAGGAAAGAAGAGAAAGAAAAAGATGAAGAATAAGTTTTAAAGAGAGTAGAATTTTTCTCAATGATGATTATCACTTGAAATAGAAAATGAAATGGAAAAGTGAACAGGTTAAAGAATTAGATTGATGGAAGATATTTTGGTAATGGAGAGAGAGACTGGAGGAGGAAGAGAAGAAGATAAATTACTACAGGTGAGAACGAGAGACAACAACAAAATGAGAATGAATGAGAATGAAAGAGAAAAGGAGAGAAAGTTTTGAGGGAGTAGAAAATGAGAGAGAAAAAGGTTTGACCGTTTTCTTAATTTTTCGCTTTTCCATTAATAAACCATTCGAATCACTTTTCATTCAGGTTTACTTTTCGTAGTTAATCATGTTTATCATTCTGACATGATTTAGTTAATCATTTTTTATTCTATTTCCATGTTAACTTTATTAATTACTCATTCAAACTTGTGTTTGGATTGTTAGTTGATCATCGTTCTAATCGTTGATCTTTTAATCGCCTTTTTATGGATTCGATGAGTTAGTTTGCAATTTTGTTTCTCTTTAGTTGATTGTTTCTTGATTGTTGAAACTTTTCTTCCATTCTCTCTGGTCATTTAATTGTCATGCATTTAAATTGTTCAATTGATTGTCAAGGTTATGATTTAACTGTTTGTCTTAAGAAGGAAATAATTTACAAAGAGTTTATCGTAATTACTTATTATCTTAATTGTCTTTTTCTTATCAAATCATTGATTGTAATAGTTATGTTTTTTGTTTTCTATCGCAACCAATTCAAATATTGACCATTTTTCCGTGAACAATTAGCGGTTAATATATTGTTGATATTTCCTTCATTAGTTTAAATTGATTGTGATGATAATTAACTTGGAGATAGAGGAAGAGGGAGAGGGAGAGAATTGAAATTAGGAAATTAATTTGGTTTCACAATTAGTTTAAAGGTTAATTGTAGAGAGAAAATATTTTAAAACATGGAAACTTAATCAGTGTAACACATTGATAACCATTAAGGTCATTTGGTTTGTTGATTGTTTATTGACAATTAACCAATTACATCAAATGAAATCATCACATTCAAATATATTTTTCTTTCTCCTTTTTTAGAGTTGATTCCAAGTCTCACAAAATTGTTACCATTGTCTTTGTATGAGAGGATATTTCAATGTTGAATTAATTTCACTTGAGACAAAAATCGTTGATTGTTGAAAGATAACAAGGGTTTATCATGTAACTAGAAGAGAGAGAGAGGGGGGAGGGGAGAGATTTAGGTCTATTTTTCCGGACATTCCACTCCTCTGCGAACAGCCGTGTGGTGCCACACTGCTCGACGTTAGCTAGTGATACCGGACTGCACAATCTTGCACTTTGCCGGCGGACTTTATCGTCTTGTCGATACTAAATTTTTCTTAAATATCACTTAATCTTTATTTACTGGGTGTGGCAAAAGTCACTAACGGCTATTTTTTGTGAACTGTTGAAAACTGGACGTACCGACCTCAACTAAAGTTCGTGAGAGTGTATAACTAGATCTCGGATTATGGATAACATCGATTTTATTGAACTTTGATAAAATATTAGATAGGCCATTTTCCGTATATTTAGACCGGTAAATTCGAAAAATTGAAAATTTTTAAAAGTACTGTAGTTTTGCATCTAGAACTTCAAAAAAACTGAATCCTCGACATTGAAAATATCTAAAAACAGTCATTTAAACATTAACCGTTTCACCTGAAAATTTCAATATTTTTCGACGGCATTTATGCTGTTTCGTAGTATTTTTGACCTTATTTCGAAACTTTGCGATCCACAGGTTTTCTTTTTATATTTTCTGCAATCCGGCAATCTTTTCTGCACAATATAGCAAGAAAACTGTTTTATTCACGTTACTCTGTTCAAAATTTGCGAAAAATAGCCGTCAGTGACTTATGCCACACCCAGTACAAGTTAGTAAATGTCTCGGTATGTCACTAGCTCCCCCAGAGCCGATTCTCCCCCCGTCTTACCCCTTCTAGGTGTCACCACCTAGGGAGGCTGAAAAGACTCCCTCGCAGGAGTCATTTCAGCTGACGGGTGCTGCCCTCTCTTTCTCACTGGGTCAACTAATGCATCACTGGGTCTCGAACCTACAACCTACATTAACGAGGACAGTGGCTTCAACCCTCTGCGCCAGAGAGAGAAAAGATGATAATGTGTAGTTAAAGAAAAAGCAAACCGACGAAAAAATAGAAGCAGAAAAAGAGTCAAAAGGTAAATCCAAATTCTCTCCACCTTTTCTTCAGAATCCGCCTTCTTTTACAGAACTTGGCTTGACTCTTTCTTTTTTATATTCTCTCACTTACCTGTTGATGGTGATGATGGAATTGAGGCGAATTCACTATTAAATTGAAATGAAAAGAAGAAAAAAAGATGAGACCGTAAATTATGAAACCGAAAAACTGGTTTCTCTCAATGAGATATTCATATGAGACTCGATTTAAGATGTAATTCTGGATAATCTACTCTTATCTCGATAATTAGACTATTACACAATTTTCCCAAGTTAAAACAAATTAATTCCAGACAGACAATCAATCAGTTAGTGATCAAATTACAATTAATTCCATTCTCCAACACGAGCGCCATCTCTTGTTCTAATTAACAGATTCAATTCTAAGTCAAATCAAAATTTTTTTAATAATTCTAATCACCAATCGATCAACGATAAACAATTGAAACTAAATTCCAGGTAAAAATGCCTTTCCACAGGTAGAATTGATTTTTTTTCGGCTTAAAGTTCGGTTTGATTGTCTCAGGCCCTCCGGGCCTTTCTTTGGTCATGGTGACCCTTATTAGCGAAGACCTAACCTAATTTAAACAAACACAATTAACTGAACAATTAAGTCCATTTTCATATGTAGCTTGAACTTTAAGCCGAAAAAAAATCAGCTGAAAATTAAAAATATCGAGCTGACGGACATATCTTGAGTCTTATCGCAAATTGATATGCTGTAAGTGGAATCACCTCTGTAATTGGAAAAGTTTACTCGTAGAGGGCAATAGTTTTGTCCATGACTTTATCTTTAAAAATTTAACTTTTCCGTGGTTGTTTTTGTTGTTTCAATTGTAATAGTGATCAGTAAATTGTATCAACATGAATCCTATTGAATATCGTTCAGTAATCAAGTTTCTTGTGCGAAAAGGATTAACAGTTGACCAAGTGACCACTGAGATGAAGAGTGTTTATCGTGATGATTGTCCAAGTTATGAAATAATTGCAAGTGTCCATCAAGAGTTTACTCAAACTTTTGCCTCGAAAATGAAAAAATAACCATTACAATGATCGTCAAATAATCGAAATAAAAATCAATCCTATTCGCAATTAAACATACCAATGTCTTCAAATTACTTCAACTGTTTCAATCTTTACAATTGTTACATTTTTCATGAAACCATCATGAATGAGTATATAGATGGTGACAAGTTAAAACTGTTATTTTAATCAGTTCATCGTTAATATTGAACTGTTATTAATTGGATCTCATGAAAGAGTAGAAATTAAAACACGGAGATGAAAATATTAATAACAATAGATGTGAACAGAATGAATCTTTCAACTGAGAAACCATTCAAGTCTTCGTGATAGTTGTTAGACTTTCTTTCAGAATTTAAATATCTGGATTAGTTGATTCAGTAGAATACATTTTCCAACTTATGACAAATTAATTCAATGTCCAGATTAACCAATTTTGAAAGTGTTTCGATATTAATTTCGTCAGCTAACCATGAGAACTTTTATTTTGATTTTTTAATGTTTCGATCTTAAAGAAACAATGTTCTGAACTCAAGAAAATTACTTGAAGAAACTTGTGACAAGCCAATAGCTTCAATTGCGTAAAGTAACAGCGTAAAAGGAAGACAAAAGTTTCGCGTTTTTTTCCCGCGAAATTTGAACTTAATCGATTTTTTAATCTTAATCTAATAATTAATTAATAATTAATCTTAATAATTTTTAATTTTTTATTTAATCAAACTTTTTTCTCGAAAGTTAAAAAAATGGTAAATATTTCAATCGAAAAATTAATTTTATTCGAAATTAAACAAAATTTGGTTTCCAAATTACTTCAAATGTTTCAATCTTTACTTTTTTGCATAACATTTTGCATGATAACCTGAGTAAACATGGTGACATTCATAGCAACTTTTATACGAAGGTCGAACTGTTATTTTAATAGTTTCACCGTTAATATTGAATTGCCAGTCATTGGATTTCATAAATTGGTGCAGTTTTCCACATGGAGATGATACTAGCAATAGATGTGAATTGAATAAATCTTTCAACTGGGCAACAATTCCAGCCTTGGCGAATAAATTTAGATTTCCTTTCAAGATTTTAAGATTATCTTGACTAGTCGATTGAGCAGAAAAGATCTTCCAATCAACAACAATCAATTCAACGTCAGGATCATCCAATTTTAAAAGTGTCTCGATAACCCCTTTGGGCGTTTCGTTCTTCAGATGAATCTGTAGTCGTTTACTTTGCATTCCCGTGATAAAATTAATACAATCACTTGGAATTAAATTGGCCATTTCCTTTTCCATTCGTTTCTCCATTGCGATTATTATTTCACCTTTGATTCCATTTGCTTCGCCTGTTGGTGGTAATATTTGTACCTCAGGTGGATAAACTTTGTTACGAACAATATCAATCAGGTATTGGAACTTCATCAATTCATCTTCACTTGTTGGTAGATTTCTGAGCCACTTCCTGGTAATTAGGTTAATCACAAGGAAAAAAGATTCGTCACTTATTTCCAATTGTTGTAAATCATTTGGATTGTTTTGTAAACAATTTATAAGTGAATTACATTCGTTGAATAGTTTCACCGTTTTAAATTCACAGTTAATTTCGTTAGTTAACCAGGCGAACATCTTAATGAGTTTTAATCTTTCGAGACTAAAGAAACAATGTTTTAAACACAATTAGATAGATTAGGTAGAGAAAATAATCTTTGTGAACAAGAACGAGAAAAAGTTCATCCTTTTATACTCATGAACTTTGCATACTATCGATTTTAGAAAAAATCGATTCCCTGAAGCTCTATCGATTGATCGATCAATTTCGTCTAAGTTTTGTTTTTATTAATACTTTGAAGTTCAAAGTTTCGAGCGGAAATAAATTATTGTTTTGTCTGCCATATATTACATACTAACCAAATTGTTTACTAATTAACACTTAAATGTGGAAACATGTGCACTTTACTTAATTGTTTTGGTTCAAATCTAAGAGATGAGTTGTTTTCTTAAATCTTAAAACTCTGTTGATTGTATCTTTTCTCATATTCTCGAGAGCGAATTATCATTCGCTTTTAAAGACTTGAGGCCAAAGGAAATCAACGGCCAATCCTTTTCCTCAATAAATCTCTTGCTTTTAACTTTAACGAAATTTGAGAGATTATTGTAAGTTAGAACTGTAATAGTAAAGATGAACTTTGTTTCTTCACTAATTAACAGCGATTTCTTATGACTGAAAAGGCAATTTGCTTGATTGTTTCTCTTCTTGATAGAGTTAATTTTCTCAAACTCTAATCCCACTAAAAGCTTTTCCGAGAGCCGAAAAATTTTTAATTTTATTACTCATATAACTAAATCAACTCGAATTTTTTACTTTAATTGTTATTAGCACATCAATTTTAAGAATTGAGACCTTAGGTCAACAATGGTCATTTGTTTTTGTTTTTACTGATCGAATGTCTCAAGTTTCAAACTTTCGCCGAAACAGTTAGATAAGTTGATTATCATCAAAACGATTAATAGAATTCAATTTTGATTGTAATTTAAAAATTGTTTTGATTTCCAAATTAAGTTTGTTTCATTTGTTTACACTCTTCGGGTGTAACTACCTCCGCCACTGCTTTCTGAGGTTTCATCGGTTGAAACATCAGTCTCTGAGTTTAAGGCTGCCGATGGAGGGACAACTGAATCATCTGATGATGATGATCGAGGTACTGGTGGGAATGTTACTGGTTGACCATCGGAATGACTACAAAGCTCTTCTCCAGTGATCGGTGATACAAATTGAGCATATCGGTAAAAATGATCCATTGGACAGTCGAGATTACATCCGTACATGGCCAAAGGTTTCCAATGTTCAGTTTTTTCACCATCATTGAATGTTAGATGAAAATAAGGTTGTTTTCCTGAATTGGAATAAATTTCCAATCCAATAACTGCTCCTGGTTTGGTAACTATTTCTTGAGTATTGTTAATCAACAAACTGGTCAACAAGGAAATCATCTTAGGTTGTTTGGATGCAATTGATTGATTATTTTCTCTGTTAAATATTTGTTTAGATTGTTCAAAATGGATACACATCAATACCTTCAAATGAAACTTATCCAAACGATGAATATTCTGTATCTGAATATTGGCCTGATGGTTATGGTCAGTTAACTATTGTAAGTGTATTTTAATTATTCTGTTTGACTAATTTTCTAATTAATTGTCTTTATTATTTTGTTTCATCTCTAATTTGATAGTGGGGTAAACAACAATTATACAAACTTGGTCAATCAATTGCATCCAAATACTCAACCTTATTACCAGTTAATCCTCATGATGTTTATATTCAAAGTTACGATGATGTACCAACCTTTGAATCAGCTGAAATCCTTTCCGCTGGTGCTTTTCCTCCGATTGATAGATGGATTTGGAATGAGAAATTACTTTGGCAACCAATTAAGATAAACACTAATCCATCAGCTAATGATACAGTAAGATTGATCAAGATTAATCTATGAATAATCTATAACCTTTTTTGTCCTTGTTACAGATTTTAGGAACATCAATTCCTTGTGAAATACCAACTTTAAGTAACATTCAAACACGAGAAGCTTACATACAATTGACAAAAGCCCATTCCAACCTGTTGGCCTATGTTGCTGAAGAAACTGGATTAGAGGATATGAGTATTAAACAATTCGTCGATTTGTATAAAATAATTATTCTCGAAGATCATGCAAATCTACCTCGATTGTCTTGGCTTAATCAAACAGTTTGGCAAGAGATGGAAAAATTTGTCTCTGATTTGGCTTATTTGATGTACTCAGACAATTTAGTACAAAAAGCCATAGCTGGACCTTTACTGGCACAAATATCTAAAAATATTGAATCAATTCAACAAGGAAAAGATTCACCAAAGGTTTTCATCTATTTTACCAAACAACCTAAGATGATTTCCTTGTTGACCAGTTTGTTGATTAACAATACTCAAGAAATAGTTACCAAACCAGGAGCAGTTATTGGATTGGAAATTTATTCCAATTCAGGAAAACAACCTTATTTTCATCTAACATTTAATGATGGTGAAAAAACTGAACATTGGAAACCTTTGGCCATGTACGGATGTAATCTCGACTGTCCAATGGATCATTTTTACCGATATGCTCAATTTGTATCACCGATCACTGGAGAAGAGCTTTGTAGTCATTCCGATGGTCAACCAGTAACGTTCCCACCAGTACCTCGATCATCATCAGATAATTCAGTTGTCCCTCCATCGGCAGCCTTAAACTCAGAGACTGATGTTTCAACCGATGTGTGACGGTCGATAGGGGGCGTGACAGTCAAGAGGAGGAAGAAAGGAAAGGGACAATTGTTAACCTACTTTTACAAGTTTGATGACAATTGTTGGACACTAGAGGGCGGTAGTTGAGAGGTCAAAGGGAAGTTTATTGATAATTTACATGGTCAATCTCTGGCCTTATAAAGGTCAACTTGATATACAGAAAATACAGTTTATCATTTATCATCAAATTTATATTAAAATTATACATGGTTGACATGAGTTGTTTATGTGTTTGTGTTAGTTAAAATTTCCTCTTCCAGTTTATCTGTTTTGTTTATTTGTTTATTTATTTTCATTTTGTGGACCTTTACACTCTCCCACTGTAATTTTCAGTTTGTGGACGATCAACAAACTTCTTGAGCAGGGAAGCATGAGCGCGAAAAGATGGTCCTGAAAGAAATGTCGAAAGTTACATCGGTTATCTTCGCGATAATGTAGTAAGGGCCTGTATATTTGGGTGATGTCTTGTTGGATGATGGGTGGTTATGTGGAACTTGTTTAAGAACCTTGGCTCCGATGGCAAATTGGATGCTTTTCATCATGCCTTTGTTTCCTTCGCTCTTGTTCTTTTCGGGTTCTTTCTCTGGCATTTTCCCTGGCTTCTTGTATGTTGTTAGTCGCGGTTGAGTACGTGGGTGAAGGGTCGTTACCAAAGAAGAGATAAGATGGAGCGTAGCCAGTGATATCGTGTGGAGTATTGTTATAATCGGTAACGATTTTTGGCAAGAGAGTCGTCCACTTACAATGAGGATGATCTTGTAAAGCAGCTTGTACTTTAAGCATTAAGGTTCCATTGATTCGTTCAACAATACCATTTCTTCGAGGATGATAAGGTGTTGAATAGATATGCTTTATCTGATTGCGTTTAAGGCATTGTTTAAGAACATTACTTTGAAAGTTCTTATGGCAATCAGTTAGTATTGTTTTTATTTTGACACCTGATTGTACTAATTTATCAACAAGGGTAACAATAGAGGCAGAAGTGTTAGTCGCTGTTGGAAAAGCCCAAACATCACGAGAGAAATGATCAATGAAGACTTGAATGTATTTGTGATGAGTGCTACCAGCAGCAGGTCCCATCACAATGGTGTCTAAACCAACGAGTTCGCCTGTTTCGTGGTTGGTACTTGGCAGTATCATTCTTCCAATAGAAGGTCGATGCGGTTGTTTTAGTTGACAGGTTTTATATGAAGCAACATAAGATTTTATTTGAGGAATCATGCCCGGCCACCAGTAGAAACAGGTGATGAGTTTGACGGTTTTGATTTTACCAGGGTGACTGTGATCATCGTGAAAATGATGCATCACCTTATCTTGAAGTGTCGGTGGGATGATAGCTCGAGTACTACCATTAGTTTTTACTGTGATGATACCATTGATGTTGAAAGGTTGTTTGATTTCTGTGAAATCAGCAGTGGATTGATGTTGTTTTATTTCATTTGCATCAATTAGAAGGGTAATTGGAGCTCGTGAAAGTACATCTACATGCTGTTGAGAACGACCAGCTCGGTGAAAAAGCTCGTAAGAGACAGTTGAGAGCTTGATACTCCAACGGTAGAGTCGACCTTTAGGTTTCTTGAGCGTAAGTAACCATTTAAGTGCGCTGTGATCAGTAATCACCTTAAAAGGAAGACCAAAATAGGCTTCAAAATGGTCAATTGCTTCAACGATGGCAAGGCATTCAAGCTCAAAGGCTGTGTAGTTTCCTTGGTGTACATTGAGTGCTTTTGAATAGTAAGCGATCGGGTGTTCAAGTCCATCGTCATCGGATTGAAGTAGCACCAATACCAATTTTAGATGCATCTGTGTATAGTATGCATGGTTTATCTTAATTATAAATGGTAAGGACTGGTTTAGAAACTAATTTTTGTTTTAGTTCCTCGAAAGCTTGGTGTTGAGGATCATGCCAATGGAAAGATTGGTTTTTGCGTAGAAGAGAGGTGAGTGGTTTACTTATAGCAGAGAAGTTTCGGATGAAGCGTCGATAATAGTTGGCCAAACCAAGGAATTGTCTTACTTCCTTAAAAGTGGTTGGGACAGGGAAGTTAGCGGCGTCTTTGTTCTTCTCGGTTGATGGTTTAACTCCTTCATTGCTGATGACGTACCCAAGGTAACCCACTTCGATGCGAGCGAAATTACATTTAGAAAACTTGAGTTTTACATTGTTTTCTCTGAGCAAGATGAATACTCTCTCCAAAGGTTGAGATGATCTTCGAGTGTTTTACTGTAGAGAATAATGTCGTCTAAGTAATTTATTATATAAGTAGAGAAGGGGGCCAAGGATTCGCTGAGCTCGTAGTTGAATAGGAGGATGGTTTGTGGTTGTTATTCGATGTTGGGCTACTGTGATACGTCCAATATCGGTTTCATTCTGGGCAAATACGTTTTGATATTTGTTGATGAGAACGTTGATTTGGTCTTTCTCGGTTGTATCTTCTAACAGGGTTACCAACTCTTTGGTTTTAGGTGATCGGATCGACACAGTCTTTTCTTCCAAATCGATGTGTAATCCAAAACCAACTCCAGTGTCTAAACCTAAGAGAATTGGGTATTTAAAATTAGGGAGAACATGATAATTGACCATTTTAGTTGTGAGATGAACGGTGGTTGATGCGACGACGAATCCAATGCTAGATGTAGATCCATCAAGCTGGTTGATTGTTATCTTCTCTGATGGGTTTATCTTATGATTGAGTTTTCTGCTTATCTTAGAACTCATGAGGCTGACGGTACTACCAGTGTCGATGAACGATTCCATCTTGGTACCATCAATTGTTATTGGTACATCTAGAAATTTGATTATCGGAGAGATGTTTCTACCATAACAAGTGGTTGCAGCTGTAGAGGCAGTAGGATACTCTTCTTCGGCAGTATACGTGTGAGGGGTTTGACTTGTTGAAGGACGATTAGGACATTCACGATGCCAATGATGCTCGGTCTTACCAAGTCTTTCACAGTATCTGCATCTGGAGTTTCCTATCACCCTGAGCTGGACGGAGACTATTGTTGTGTGGCGGAGCAGCAACAAAGGTTTTTACTGGTTTCTTCTTATGGAACGTAAGTTTCCTTTTTTCATTGGCCTTGAAGTGAGCTTCGGTTTGCAAAGCTATTTTGATCCACTCGTTAGTGTTACTGGGACGAGCGGATGTCATAAGAAGTTTCCATGAGAACGGAAGGCCTTCGGTTAGCTGTTGAAGAATTTCTGTTGTAGATAGAGAAGTCTGTCTAAGCAATCTTACTTTGCGTAGGTAGTATTCTTCGACAGATTCTTCTCGGCGAAGGGAGATGTGTTGAGCTTCTACGAGTGGAGCTTCTGTTTCACATCCAAAGCGATTGATCAATAAAGCTTTTACCTCTGTCGAAGATTCGATACCAGAACCAATGATTTCGTCTCCATACCATTCGAGAGCTTTCTCCTTAAGATAGTACATGAGACCTTTGACGAGATCATCGTCATCTTTTGAGTTGATGTGTTGCTCGTAAATTTTATCCAGGTTTGTACTCTAATATCATTAGAGTAACCGAAGTACTTGTCTAGTTTGTTTGTAGAGATCATGTTGATTATTGAAGATGGTTGAGGTTGATCGATAGAGTCAGGGAGAGACGATGGTTGTTGAGTTGAGGTTCTTCTGCGATTTGCCATTTAGTTTATTTTCTAAAAACAATGTGATGCAAATAATCGAGAAGGTGGGTTATTACGGTGTCAAGGGTGGGATTGGGAATTTGATTTATTTGGTTAAATTTGAGCCCTCGGTGAGCAATGGTTTCAGCTCTAGCTAGTAAGTTGCGAGATTCCAATCGTGAAGGCAAGTTTTGGGTTACTTGTTGAAGCTGTTGATGAGATGAGAAGGTTGTCTTATTATTACTATTTCATAACCTTCGTGATCAACTGATATGTTGAGGTATTTTGAATGAGCGCTCTCCGCTCGAGATGAAACACAATAAGTTGTCGCTATGTCCATGGTACTATTAAAAGCTTTATTGAAACCACTAGAGTCTCCACAGGTAGAAAATCTCAACTCTGAAGATGCTCCTGTTATGGAACGAAGAAAATCAAAATTACAACGAGAAATATATCAACAATTTGGGGTGTTCGTCAAACTACCTATTTAAAAGGATAATTAAGTTGATAAATGTTGATTAATTTGACCCGAAGGTTTCACCGGTTATTGTTAGAGATCCAGTTGATGGTTAGATGATCATCAAGCATTTGGTTAAACTACGATGTAAGGAAAGTTAACGCTTTGGATATCGTTTAATGGCCTAGAGAAAAGTCCATCTTCCCAATAGAATCCAAAATTATCAAAGGCTCCTTCAGGGGAAGGTTAGGGAAGGTAATTAAAGAGGGAGATGGAGATCGGATTCAATCAAATTGTGATGGTGCAAAAGTAAATTAACAAACAAGCAACTGATTTACACTTAGTGTAGTAGCTGTGGTTTGAAAAACTTGTGATGATTCCGTCTCCTGATGACAATTTAAGTTTTAATTCCTCCAGATAATTGAGACAAGACATAAATGTTGGTCTCATGTCTGAATTGTAACACCAGCATTGATTCATCAAAAAGAACCTATTGAGAGAGAAATCAATCAAATTAAGAATTTATTCGACTCTGATGATTTTAAACACTTACATCTCCTTTAAACATTTTGGTGGCCTTTCAGGTTGACCACCACTTCGAACATGGTTCAATTCTTATTGGATACTACGAGCTGGGTATGGTTGTTGACTCAAAGTCCTAACTTCCCAAAGTAGAACACCGAATGACCAAACATCCGTTTGGGTCGTGAAAACGACGTAAACTAAACTTTCCGGGCCATCCATCGAACTGGCATTAAACCCTTAATCTCTTTATTATACTAATCATTTATATACATGTAAATATCTCGAGCTAGACCAAAGTCACCGATTTTAACGATTGCTGATTCACGGTTTTTGCTCGCGACAAGACAATTTCGAGCGGCCAATTCTCTGTGAACAAAGTGCATTTTAGCTTCTTTCATGAAATCATCTGTTTCTTGTTCTGATACATCTGATTTTAATTTCTGTGAAAAAATCAATTCAATTAGTGTTATTAATGATATAATTGATCAGCCATTAGAATTAAAAAGAGTCACCTTCATCGCAACGGGCAATAAAGCGTCGAGGCTTCCGACAAGCTCGGGATCAGTGAACAAGTCAATACTTGACCAGCAGCTCCACAACCCAAATGATCTGTTTGTTTGCTGAAAGATTAGAGATCAACAAGTTTAAATCATTCACTTTAAACTTACCTATTTTCAAATTTGTATGAGCTTTTCGCTCACCTGATCTCGGTGAAATGTCACCAATGAATTTGAGTGATGTTGTTTTACCCGAACCATTGTCTCCAGCAATACAAATTCGTTATTGTAGATTAGCGTTTTCTTTTCGGCAAGAATCATCGACCATTTTCACCATTTCACTTGCGTTATTAGGGGTGGTTATCGGATGATAGTCAAGAAAACATAAATTTGGATTCACCTTGATTATATCGATTGCGTCTTCTTTTGTGAATTTTTATTTATAATTTAATTTCAAATCACAATCAAGCTGAATTGTTAACCATATACACGCCATATTTCAGCTCTATCTAAGGGCAATCAAGATAAGACTCATCAGAGTAACTTAACCTTTGAAATGATTAAATTTAATCATGAAAATGAAATAAGCTGGTTAAATGAGTGACCCAAAAGTTGAACAATAGCAAACTGAAAACAAGTTAATTGTCAAAATTAACTTGATTGAAGTGAAAAAACTTCTGCTTAATCGAAACGAAAACTTTTTACCACAGTTTAGACTTTGATTGATTAATTGCTAATTGGGTAGAAAACTTTTTCGAGAATCCGAATGTTGTTCTCGTTATTAAATCTTTTGACTACGATTTTTTGAACTTACACGTTAAAGTTGTGATTTTCTCATATTGAATCTGAACCAATTTCCGCCATTTTGAACAAACTTTTGTAAGTAAAAAGAACGAGTTAAAAGTTACAAATTTTAAGTAAATATTGAGAATACAATTGTTCTTAAAATTACCTTGAATTAATCAACATCAATTGTTATTAAACTTGAATCAGTTTCTTAGGCCCGTATTCACCAACCGTAATCAAATTAGATTCTAGATTTAAATCTGCTAATCACAGCTTTTGTCTTTCACCAACCATTATCAAATCTTGATCTCTAATCAAAGTTAAGTTCGGTTCAATTTGATTCCGGAATTAAAAAATCTAGTTTCACCAATCGAAATCAATTGATCTCAGCTCAAATTGCTGTTTCACCAACCAAAATCAAACAAATTTGATTGTGGAAGTCTTGAGCAAATCTTGGTAATTACCATGATCAAATTTTGATTTGACTTTTTTTTCTCTTTTTTTCAATCTAACTCATTTTTTCCGAATTTTTTTTAATTAATAGGTTTATATCATAATGCTCTATTATTTTCTACAATTTTTGCTAGCGTAAAGAAGATTTCTTTTTCACATAAAAATCTAAACAAAGATATTTAGAAAACTTGATCAGTGTAATCATATAACTTGTTAATTGTTTGGAAATCAATCTTAATTTCAAGTCTTTTCCATAAACAATTAATTAATTCATCCACTTCAAATTAACCGCTTTTGTCTAAAGAGAAATAATTTTTTATTGTTGTGACCGTTGTTTTGTTTGATGATCGGTTGGTAAAAAAAATTGGTAAGATCCTAGTTAATGGTTGGAGGCGGAGCCAATGATTATTCAACACACTTATCGATAGTGTTCGTCAGCTGAAATTGAAAAATTAATTTGAAT